TATTATATTTATCCCCTCAAAAATCTGACCTAGCTAGATAAGTCTTTGAATTTCTAAATTTGAAAGTTTGATTTACCTCGTGTCTTCAGAATAGGGTTGATAAAATAAAGCTCATAATTCTTTAACAAAACTCTTTCAGAGCTGAGAAAGAGTGGGGTGATGGTCTCCGTGGTCTGGCCTTATCAGCTGCTCGGTACTCGCTGCTACGTCTAGAACAAGGACCTCCTCACACTAAGAACTGGCGTCCCCAAGTACTGGTGCTTGCTAAACTGAACAATGAACTGATGCCTACCTATCGGAAGATGCTTGCTTTTGCCAGTCAACTGAAAGCTGGTAAGATTTTTTTAATTTAATTTTAACGTAATGCGAAAGCAAGAAGATACTTAACAAAATCTTATAAAAGAAGTATGGGGTATTACGAACTTATAAAATCTTTGTTTTAATACATTGAGCTGCCTATCGCATCTGTCTATTAGTCTGTTCATGATGTATTGTCAAATAGATTTTGTCAAATTGATTTACACCAGTTAATAACTCTTGCGCGAGAAAAAAGCAACGCGTGAAACCTAGGACAATATTTTTGAGACTAATGGCTATTTTAATGCTATACATTAACATCCAACCTAATAAACTCTATAATGGCTATGTATTGGTCTTCAGGCAAGGGTTTGACGGTATGCGTATCTGTGCTGGGCGGTGACTTCCCTCGACGTGCTGGTGACGCGGCCTCAGCTCGACACAACCTGCGCCGCTGCATGGATGAGGAGAAACTAAAGGGCTTCGTCGATGTCCTCGTAGCACCTGACATCGCTGATGGACTTAGCCACCTGTAAGCAATATCAAAATGTATTTATATCGACATAAATGTTTTAACTGGATAACAAATCCTACCATCCATATAGGCAATGAATCAATTATTCACATAATTACGTTTTATTTCTTTATTCAACGTTTCACCATTTGATATACTTTAAACTTTATTGACTTCATTTTTCAGGGTACAAACGACCGGTTTGGGTGGTTTGAAACCCAACACGGTAATCGTAGGCTGGCCGTACGGCTGGCGCGCGGCCGAGCGGCCCGAGCCGCGTTGGCAACATTTCCTACACACGGTGCGCGCTGTCGCCGCCGCACGCATGGCCATGCTTGTACCCAAAGGAATTAATTTCTTCCCTGACTCCACTGAGAAGGTACACAAACGATTTCTGTAATATTTAATGCCATCTTGGTTTTTTGAACAAAGAAACAATAAATTAATCACTGTTTATGTAACTAATAATATTAGTAAAACCCTACCTTAAGCCGTCTGGAGGATGAACTGAAGTAGTTTGATGTACCAATTGGTAAAACCGCTCTACTTCTAATATATTATGCCAAACGCAGATCAAAAAACAATACGTGGTTAAGCAGCAATAAGTAATTTGAAAATTTATTGCTCAGGTATCCGGCAATATCGACATCTGGTGGATCGTGCACGACGGCGGCATGTTGATGTTACTCCCGTTCCTGCTGAAGCAGCACCGCACCTGGAAGAACTGCAAGATGCGCATCTTCACCGTCGCGCAGATGGAGGACAACTCTATTCAGATGAAGAAAGACTTGAAGATGTTCCTCTACCAACTGCGACTTGAGGCTGAAGTGGAAGTTGTGGAAATGGTTAGTAGAATATTAAGTAAAATTTTGCTGTGGATAAGCATTATTTAAACAAATCGTCTAGACAAGATCTGACCCAAAATACGAAAAATTACTAAGGAAACATTGAATATTAATGTAACGTTTTTATATAAATGTAATTTCAGACGGACAGTGACATATCCGCGTACACATACGAGCGAACCCTGATGATGGAACAACGTAACCAGATGCTACGCGAACTGCGACTGAACAAGAAGGAAACCATGGGCATGGTGAGTTCAACAACCACATATTACCTAACAATGAAATATAATAACAATGTTCTCAATTACTTGTTGACTATGTTGTACAAAGCTTTGTATATTAATAACTCTACTCTGACCTAGAACTAACATGTTTGTCTGTCGCCTATATACAGATGCAAAATTTCGTGGATTATCGTGAAAACGCTGAGGAGAAGTTGCCTTTGGTAAAGTGGATATATTAACCCCTGATTCGAGTCCACTTATTTTCTTTAAGAGCATTTTGTTGATAGCTATACGTTGATAGCTCCCGCATTTTCAAGTCTACACTAATTTCTTATTACTTTGATCCAAGCAATGTGTAGATGAATTTTATTTTTAGCTTTCAATTCTTGGTGTATATTAGATTAAATGTTGTCCTCGTAATAGCTAAGATCTTCCACGTTCACTATTTCATCTCAATGTACATTTCTATCACCACATCTCCACCAGTTCAGTAATCAATGAATTTGGCTATCTACTCCTAAAATGATTGCTTTTGATGTTTTAGATTCCTTCATCTAAATGTCTTCACTTGTCACTTAACTCCTTTTGCTGTATTATCACTGTTTGCACTTACATTCTATTCTACTTCTATAATACTCTTAAGACGTCAACTTTACCTTTTCTTCTCGATGTGTTTATACTAACGGCATGCAACCTCTTCGATTTACCTTTCATTAATAGATGTTGACCAATCATTTAATTTTTTGGTGTAATATTTTAGCTAATGTCTGTTTTTAGAAGATATACTTATATTAAAATTAAGAGTATAAGAAGAAAATCTGTTGTGTCCAAAAATTTATTTTACGAACTGGCAATACTTCGTTCAATTCATCAAGCAAAATGCTTCATCGTACTCGCAAATGGTCTCCATAGATACACCATCTTTAATTTAAACGAAGTATCACAAACTGTACGATTATAATATCACAGTTGAATTTGAATCGTTTGATATCTTATGACTATACATATATGTATAAGATATCATTTAGTATATTATCCAGGATTGACTGTAATTAACTGAATTAATAAAAATGCAGTGAATTCTTAAATATATTTTACATTCTACATCCCTTCATGTCACGACAGAGCTACATCTCAATCATTCCTACCAAATACGTTAGATTTAAATACAAAACTAAAACCAAAATTGTGTAAACAGGTGCAAGCCATTGTGGATCATCACCACGCTGACGTGAAGACTGCTAGCAAGGTTCGATTCGCGGAACCTGGTGATGAAGCACCAACTGATGCACCATCACCTCCTCTTGCTGATACTGAAGACAAAGACAAAGATGATAAGGTGAATATAACTCCTGCACGTACTACAATATACGACTATATCTCTACTGGTCTAAAAAAACACATTTTAGATCTTTTATCGACAAATTTAACTGTAATAAGAAATTCAACTTTAATGACAAATTTTATGTTAATGAGATAAACAATTTTAATTAGATTAACTCGATTGATACACAGATAAACAATATGACGGTTACTATAGACTGGTAGAAATATTTGTGGTGTCACTGTTTTCCTGCACTTAGATAACCCCTTTTGATGATGCTAAAACAATGAGTGCTTTGTGTAACTGAATGTACCACTGAAACTTAAATATCTAATGATTTTTATACAATGACAAATTCTATTTTACATTGAATAAAAATATTTAATGATTTTTAATGATTCAATTCAATACTTGCTGAAATTGATAATAATTAATTGAAATCAAAATGATCTGTTAATTTATGTTAAAACAATGATACATTAACATGAACAAGCTTCTTATTTTCTCAGCTAGCCCACAAGTCATAATCTGTACATAATTTATTACAAAATCTCATTTTCATTACCATCAAATCTTTTTGTCTCAAGAAATTATAAACATACATACGGTCATATTATTATTGTGTGGAACTTGTCTTGGTTTACAATCTCATTGACAGGTACAAGACGAGTTTTATCGGTAACCTAAACATTTTACTTTATACAAAATGTTTTTACTCAAAAAATATTTTTTTTTACATATCAAAGGAATTCTTTCCTTAATTATAAGTAAAATGTTGAGGCGTCCGCCAGTACAATTGTGTGGTACGTACAAGCTGGTGTGTCTATGCACTGCAAACCATGATCAGCCATCGTTATTTATAATTTATTTAAGTTACTCATGTTCGTCCCCACTATCATTACGTCACCAGCGAGTCCTAGCGAATTTACACACGGTGGTCATATGTTTGCGATGAGTTCATTCACGTTGATTTGTTCACTTTAGTTTGTTTCGTTGTCCACATTAGTTAAGAGGTTGGATGTTTGAATGTCAGTAGTGAGTTATCGTTTAACAATTAAAATAATATATGACATCCCGTGTTTCATTCGCCTTGAATCCGTCATGTGCAACACAAACAAACAAATCGCGGTTCAAAATTCAATTTGAAAATGGAATACACAAATTGGGGTTAATAGGACGACTTTCGAAGTAGTTTGTTGCACATAATCGATTCAATGTGGGACTCGCCCGATGAACGGTCGCAGTGCGAGGATGCCAGCCCGCCACCCGACGACAACAAGCACAAGGACCAGCCCGTCAACGGCGACGTCAAGCCCAAGCCCAACCTCTCCGATATTACGCCGTGAGTAGTACTTTACATTATCACTTAACTTTTAACTTGAATATAGATAAAGCAAAAACTAGTAAGTCTACACTGTCTGAAATTAATTTGCAAGCTTTGTTTTGTCAAACGAAGAAACGCATTAAAATTAAACTATATATAAATATTGTAAGTAAACGATATTCAAGTATGTAAACATGTGGTATTCGTTTTATCAGTGACGAAGGCACGGTGCGACGCATGCACACGGCGGTGAAGCTCAATGAGGTGATCGTGTCGCGCTCTCATGACGCGCAGCTCGTCATCCTCAACCTGCCCGGCCCGCCCCGCGACACCAACATCGACCGAGAATCCAACTGTAACTACACTTACTATTGTATAACTAAAATAGAGACAGGGAAAATAAGAAACCCTGTTTAGTTTATTTGTCGTAGCAAACATTCGTAGCGAGTGCTACGAGAATTAATTGCACTTTGAAAAGGTTTAAGTATGTTAGCTCATATCCGTATCATTTGTATGGAACGTAACATATTTTAGAGGAACGTATCTTGGTATGTAATACAAAAAAGAGATTCTTTATGTGAAATATAGTAGTTATCGCTACGATGGGAAACCGTAGCAAGTGCTACGCGGGCGTAGTACTAACTACGACGGACCTAAAAAGTGGAATATGCTAAAATATGACGTTTGTATGCAGACATGGAGTTCCTGGAGGTGCTGACGGAGGGGCTGGAGAAGGTGCTGATGGTGCGCGGCGGCGGCCGCGAGGTGATCACGATCTACTCGTGAACGCGCGGGAGTGCTTCTCTCCTAACTGTTAGTGCTATGGTTTGGAACGTTCCGATCGGTCGGGCTCGAGTCTCGTCGATCGTAAGACTTAACCCGCGCATCTCTAAGACTGCCGACACGACCGTCGCGTTCCGGTTCGTTCATAAATATTGTATGTATTTTCTTACGATGATTGTATTCGGCGTTCGTTTTACTTGTAAATGTTAGCTTAATTCTACGATACGTTTTGTTGAATTTGCTGTTTAGAGTGACGTTGTTTTGAAATTTATTCACTGTTGTATAGATATTTATGGATATGACGTATGTATCTAACGAGAAGCCTTATCTATCGGACGTTAGCTCTAAGTTTGTTGTTTTGTTATTACATAGACTAGCTAAGAGTTACTTTAAGCACCCGAGTGGTCTCTTGTTTACCAACATGCCATATAGTTTTACTTTACTGTGCCGATGTGAACAGTTAAGTACTTGTAGATTAATTTGTATCATTTTGTACGTTATATTATTTTCTATGGTTGTTATCACGACGTAGATATACTTTGTAAGAGTATACATTTCTTGAAATCATGAAGATTTTTAACTATATGAAATTGTATTTTGTAAATATTATTCTGTTCTAAGGTTTACATCTGCTCAACTTATAACTAACCGTGGGACTGACGCAGGAAGTTACCATTTCCAACTGTCGCTATCCACACATACATAGGTTTCTATACATTTTCTTTAGAACATCATGTCTAGTCACTTTTTGATATTAGTTTTATCTAATACATACACAATTCGTTATACCAAAAAATAAAGAAGTCATTAAGTGAACTCAACCGGAGAAACCCTCGAGTATTTATGATGAGTAGACAGAACAGCAACAGAACGCGCTGAGGGACACCTAGGTAACTATTAACTATTCGTATTTTAGTATTAGCGTGAAGATTTAATAGTTAAACGCGATCTCTCGCAAGTAACTTAGAGAATAACTTGAAAACTTATTGCGCACATTCGCGTAGGTAGATGATTTCTTACTGTGATCGTTTATATAAAGTTTTATTGTTTTAGTTTCATTTAAGTGGTAGCGGTAATACACAGACTATCCTGTAGTAGTCATCGTTCAGCAGAATGTACATTCCTTTCACATAATATTTGTATGTAGTTGCCTTCAATCGCTCGTGGTATTGTTTTCGCCGATTAGGCTGCCTTAAACGACATGCGTCATTAAACCAAATAAAACTAAAACTTTGAAAACGCTTAAAGTTGTCAACAACGGTACGGTGTTAACATTTCAAATGTTATGATGAGAATATTATAATTGTCAAAGCTACATAACTATTATTTTCTTGTCGTCGAAAGAAAAGATGAGTTGTGAAGAGATGCAAAGCTTTCAAAGAAACAAGTAAACATTCGTTTTGTTTCGAAATGAAATATTCGCAAGTAATATGGCTTATTTAGGTGTAGCTGTAAAGTTTATAGATATTGTTATTTATTCGTTTTGAATGAAACCATCTGATACAGACGACAGCTTGGTACTCAGATGCGCGCGTACGTATGATGAAAACTTGTCAATTTTGATTTACCGTTGCACCACTCTAGTTAAGGAACAATTTCTTATTCGTATAAAGAGTGTTAGATAACTGCCAAATAGGAATCGGTGTTGTAAAATATCCTAGTCCATAAGTGAGCTACCATCTTCTCAATGATAACTGTGTTTATGAACTTTCATAAATATTTACGAAACATTTACAGTTATAAACATTTAATAATGTAACTAACAAAAATTTGTAGACGATAGTTAGTTAACTCTACTCTCTTTGTTTCACAAAACTATTTATGTATTAAGTTTCCCATTCGATTGTTAGCATTCCTTCGATGTTCATAAGGAACTTAACTGTAAATGTTATTTTAAAAAATATCAATTACCTTACTAATGTCCTAAGATTTTACGATAGCGTCAACTCGAATTTTGTATGAGAGTTGAGATTTTTAAGATTTCCTCAAATAAAAAATAGTTAAACATTTTCGTAACTCGTATTCACAAATACAATTAACGTCATTTAATGTTCACGCTCTTCGCGTTACGAACAAAGTAGGAATTAATTCGAAGGCATTTAAGTATTCCTTTTTGTCATGGTTGTAGATGCCATAATAATATATTAAGTACGTAGATGTTAGTTATTCTATGAATCGACTGTCGATTACCCGTCTATCGAGATACCAGTGAGCAGTAACTAAACACTCGGTCGCCTAGCAACCGGACGACAGCCCGCGGCCGCCACTCTATCTACTTACCAAATTGAAGCATAGCGATATCGTAACAAAAAATATAACTCACTTAATAAGATTAAGTATAAATCATTCTAAATTATATTATTATCTGTAACCCCATGTTCGACATCTTTCGTGATAATACACCTCTCGTTATGATTTCGTGAACGTGGTTATCACTTAGTGATTGTACACAGGCGTAATGAAATAGTGATCACATATCTTCCTTTCGCATAGAAAAAATATATCTACATTATAAAACTATTTATGCCTATTAATAGGTAATGGACGATAATTTATTTAAAATGAAATTTATTGAATTATATATTGTCTAAATTATAAAAAATATTATATAGATACCTATATAGTAGGTATTTATTACATCTAAGCCAAATTCTTCAAATTGGATTTTAACGAAATTATTTGTGTTCTTTAAGAACATTTTCTTTCGTAGATTGGCGGTTATATTGAACAGCTAATTCATACTCAATGACAATAGGTAAAGACGTACCTGTATAGTAAAAGAAAGGCGACGTGGAGCGCGTTGACCGATGGACGAGCTGACACCTGGGATACACCTTGGTCTTAGCATTCGAGCACCACAGGAACGAGTCCACACCGGTGACAAGGTGCTTCGCTCCTACATACTTAATCTTACTTGATAACAACATTGTAGATAGTTCAAATTATTAAGTAGAACACTAGTTAATGTTTGATGCCCACGATAACGTCATACATGTGCCAAACATCATTATTTCAGAGAGTAAATGACACGGTGGTGAATCTATAGCGTAAGTCATCATACTTACATTTTAGACTTACCTAATACAAAATATTCTCTCGATGAACTCAGTAACGTGTGTCATGATTATATTAAAATAGCTTTCGAAGATACATTACTTATGTGTTAGAAATGTCACGTTTACTAACATAGTTGTATTTCAACAACATGCACACCTACATAGTAACCTACTCGGAATAGATTAAAAATCGTGTTCGTAATTTCAGTCGTTACATTTTAGCTTAATAATAATAATAAAAAATCATTAAAAATTATTAGCCGTACAGCCACCAACGTATTCACATGCGGCCGTGTTAATGAAAACACCACTGAATACGCTTGTGACTGCACTTTACGAGTATCAAATAATTATTGATGTAAAACTATTAAATTACCTATTTTAGATTTTAGGCTGTGAGTCAGCGTAAACACATTCTTTACAATTTAATATTCAAGCTAGAGTTGCTGTGATACACCATTATGGCTATAAAATTATAGTGTAGTCATTTCTGGCTATGAATAACAATGGGAGATAACGTGGATAACGTTTAACGCCATATTCTATCTGTGATTTCACTGATGTGTAGATGCACCTTTATCCGCGTAACCTAACACAGCCCTGAGATATCATTCCCCATCTATGCCTTGAGTACGACTCGTAGATATTCTGCCTCATAGGTAACCTGTACTATCTTATTGCGAATTACAAACTACATAATGAAATGTAACTAACAAGGCTGTCTCTACTTTGAAGATATTTTGAAAATTGTATTTTATAAAGCCTATGTCTAACAGCCAGAAATGTAACTAGATTGTCTATTATTGGATCTACTTGAAATCTATTCTTGGTCTTGAAAATATAAAGCGAACAAAGATAGCCTACATCACGCTAAATCTCAAGATATTGAGCAATAACGAAAGTATTTAGATAGTGATCGCCGGGCGGTATGCTATTTAACTTATAAATATTATGTATTTTGATCTGGAACGAGTTTTTCATAGAAAAATATTTCGAAGTGTAAAAGTTGTTTAAGAAATTATTAAAATATTCAAATAATAATTCTAGAAAGTTAGTCAGTGAGTAATTATAAGAAAAAGATGTTACGAGTATAATAAAATAAACTAATAAAATGTCGCGTCGTTTCTTTTCCCTTTCCTCATACAATCTGATATCTTATAGCACTGCTTCCAGCAAAGAGGAGAAATGCGATTATTCGAAGTAACTTTGGTGATCGGTGTAGTGATTGGGCAATTAGTTGCAGTGCAACGTGTTGTAGGTTCGATTCCCATACGAAACAACTATCGTTGATAAACAATATTATTGAAATTACTGAGTCCGAGCCTGAGTGTGATGTGTTTATTTACAGAGGTACCTCAACTCTGTAAATAAATAAAAAAGTTATGTATTTTTGCTGGGACCTACATTTCGAGTTAATGCAATATTTTCAAGCTTGAGTACAAGAATAGTCCTGTTGTGGGTACTATTCTGTCGTGGAAAACTATCGGTTATCTTTGACATTCTACATATTAATGGGTTCACTCCACCCCAAGGTCACTAGTACCTTTACCTTACAAAATAATATGTAGGTACTGTACGTAGCCAGTAAGTACATAATGTACAACTTCCTATTTTTAAGCTACATAGTTATGAAAACTTCTGACTAGAAACACATATTTCAAAATCTAAGATTCACGAGAAATCTATGCGAATAATACGCATGTTTTATACTGAGTTATAATTGTTTTATACTTAGACTGCCTCATTGGCCGAGTGGTAGCGAGTGCGACTGCCGGGTAAGGGGTCTCGGGTTTGATTCCCGGGTCGAGCAGAGTATTACTGGGTTTTTTCAAAAATCCTACTGTCATAATCATAAACTTGGATATAGAAAAAAAGGAAAAAAGTATTGTTTAAAAATCTTTATTATTTCTCACAATTTACAATAATGACATATCACCTCAAAAAATACAGAAACTTACTACACTATGGTTAAAATAATTAATAAATAAAACATTAACATTAAAATCTTTTTTATTTTGTTATAAGTAAATATCACCAAAATTTTATTTTTTTTATTTTAAGATACAATAATGTTGTTGAGGTAAATCAATTTTACCCTTTTTTAATTAATATTGCAGCTTTAAGACTAGAAAAATAAAATTTATGTATTTGAACTGTGTTTCTTAGTCACTATGTACATAAAGAATTATTTTCATATCTTTGTTTTACAAACATATATGTATATAAAATCAATCCAAAAATTTAAGACTATCTGCTCACTATACCCAAAATATCATGGAATTAGTGTAGCCTATATTACACACATTGTTCTGCATTATTAATACTTTCAAGAAGGTATTCCCTCAGTCCATTCTTATTGTAAGTAGTATAAAACTGACTTAGCAAAGAATACTTCAAGCTTACAACTTTCATTCCTAAAATTTTGAGATGTCTCTTTTTCATCACTTGAGGACCAATCAGATGTTCATTGTTGGAGCAATAATGGTCAGGCAAATGTATTAATATGGCAATATTAGAATTCCGAACGGTCTTTGATTTCCAGTTAAAAGTTTTACTACCCAGCCCAGCGGAGTGCAACATGACATCCAGTAGATATGTTTCATCCGACGGTAAGTACGGTATAGAGACAGCTACTGACAATTTATCTTGACCTCCTGCTACATTTGTAAGCATATCCATGATTTTTTCCAAAATATTTTTAACCCTAAAGTCTTGAGTAATTGGTTTGGACCACTGGTCTTTTGGTAAAAGGGGACCCAAGTACTTCTCACATTCTAAAGTCATTGCAGTATCTATCAAATAAAACGTCTTCCACATATCAGCATTTTTTACTTTTGCCAGATACTCCGGACTTAACATTCTGCGGACTAAAGTGGAAGGGTACTTACCTAAGTAAATTGACGATAGTATTATTGAACTAAGATCACAGCTGGTCATTTTATCAAAATTTTCATTCATGATTTTTTCTACAAGCATCCAAAACTTTGTATTATTCACAGGATCATATTGCAAATATCCAAAAGGATATATGAAAGATTTGAGGAAACTAGGTGGCACAACATGCCAATTACTCAGAAAATATTCACTGCAAGAATTCAAAATCTGTTCATTATAAATTTGGAACTGCATACAAAAGTTCAGAAGGCCTACAATAAGGACATGGCTCTCTATCTTATGGCCTCTCAACTTCATGTATTTTTCCACAGCCTTCTCAATTTTGTCATCAGTATATTTCAGTCTAGTCAACTTAGAAATAATATCTAACAAGGAATCTTCATCCAAAGCATGTATATTGGCACAGAGCCAGCTGCCAACAACACCAAATGATTGCACTGATAAATATTTTTCCATTACAAAAGAGCTCAATATGTCTTGCATGACAGGCACTTTAATTTTAAACCACAAATCACATAATTTTTGCTCCAATAATGTCAATATTATTCTTTTGCTGACTTTTAAACCATGTAGGATGCCAAACACCTGCACTATATTGTTCTCATCTATTTCTTTTTCTTTTGCAACAAATCCAACCCACAGTTTGTCAATGGTTTCAGAGTATTTTGTATCATTTTTATTTTTTATTAAAAAATGTATAAATTCACACAACTGGTCAACAGGTAGCTTGTTGTCAATAACTCGAAGAAGAAGCTCATCATGGAATTTGTATTTGAAAGGCTCCATGAATGATGAAACTGTGTTCAGTATCTCCAGTATTGTGCGTGTGTCTTCAGTTCTCATAACAACCTTCAGAAGTTTATCTAAAATGGCACCTTTTGCTAAATTAATTTGCATTATTTTAGGATCTAAGCTAAGAGAGTTTGGATTTTTCTCAATGTCGTATATTCTTTCGATGGCACCTAATGCAATGTTTGGTGTAATTTTTGTACACTTTGATAGTAAGGAGAACACATCCCGAAGATCCACACATTGTTTAAATTCTTCTTGTATCAGCTGATAGCTCAGAGTGTCTTGAACACTTGCTGCTTGTTCTTCGTTTGGCTTGTCTTCGATGTCTGTGAAATTTCGCAATTTCTTGATAGCCACGGGAAGTTCTTGTACGTTAAATCCATTTTCAATTAAAATAGTACTACTGCTAAATTGTGGATTATTGCCAGATTTGTCGTCATTGAACGTTCGAGCCACAAAAGTCTGTAACTGACCAGACACTGAAATATTTCCGGTACCAGGAGACAGGATATTATTTTTAGCTTTTAAATACGTTCTTCTCAAAACCAATGACATTTTTTAACATAAACAAATACGTCGTAAAATAATGAAAACAAACAAAGTAAAATCTACATTTGCGATCACATTTTTGACAACTTTGACATTGAATTCAAATGAATGTTACAGTGTTACCCTAATAAGACTTAAAAAAGAACAACACCTAAACTCTGAAATATAAAGATAGTTGAATCAGAAATTTCTCAATAAGTGTCGTTTTACATAACAATATAAAATGGCTGAATTTTTGTATTTAATTTTAATTTAAAAATTTACTAAAGACTACGTGCATTTCCTTGATTAATGGCAACATTTCTCCCTAATCTTCATTCATTGTATTAATTCATTCATGAATTTTATTACGGAATACTTCATTCAATAGTTCTGTAGTTCATTCTAATATCTTTGGACGCTTGTACCCTATTGTGTTTTTTCCTCTTCGTTTTCGTATATTTCTTTGATTTTGATAAGATATGACGCTAATTATGTAACTTAAAAAGTATCAATAATATTATACTCTAAAATTTAATAGCCTCTAAACCAAAATTGGGTTAAGCTTCCGGCGAACTATTCTGAGCTGATATTTTTATTTGCACAAGTCAGCTGATTTTCTTTTTTGTAAGTTGTAACTTTTTAAAAGTAAGTTTGTTTATAGTAGACTTTGTGCGGGTAATAATAAATCAAACAGTTATAAGTGCTAGCTGTGATATCTGTGTTTAAAATTTCTAGGTACTTATTGGAATAATTTTATGTTGTGTACCTACCTCGAAATTCCTTACTTATGTATTATTATGATTCAAGTATTTTAATCCAGTCACATAAAAACACCATGGTGTCGTGATAAAGGGTACAAAATTTAATTTATTTCTTATAGAATCCGTTGCAAAAATAGAATACCTGGTGATAAATAAGCAGTTCTATTTTAACTGAAGCTGAACGAAGACGTACCTACCTACAGGTCACCAGTATGCCTGATCAAACAAATGTAAGTAAATACTACCTAATTGCAGTAATAATAGCTAATCGTATACGTATCCAACCACTTTATTAACATTAATTAATTGTGGCTGCATAGCTAGTTGCGCTTAATTTATACATCGTTCCGAGATGACTATCAGACTAGGTACTCCATAGGCCGTTAACAAGCGAGATGTTTTACTGTTTCATATCCAGACCTAGATAATATTCTGTTTATAGAGTTATTTTAGTTACCTAACTAGATATTGTAATATAACCGAAGTACATATCTATGAGACTAACAGTATCCAAATAGGTATGTGCCTACCTGGTTACTCCTACATCTTAACATTGTTTAAATCTGGTCCCGGGTTTATCATGTAAACTCGTAATGTAATATAGTTAATAAGATTTCGAGTTTAGCATAGCGACTAGCGTCTAACATCAAAACTGTGGGAGACACTACAGCCACTACAGGAGTACTTACAGGTTTACTTTTGATCGAAAAGAAAATGAAATAACGCAATATTTTTATTGTTAATCAGGCAGATGGTTAAATTTCAAGTAGGTAGGTAGGTTAGCCGTTATGCGGAACCTACGAAGTTACGAACGGGATGGGTGTCTTCCCTATTTAATGCGACTCCCGTGCATATCACTCTACCTAATTCAAACGAACTTTCCTCCTCGCCCGGATCTATTAGGTACAATTTAACCCACCGTCTCACAGATGACTTAAAAAAAATCAAATCATTTATTCATCTAAATATTTAAAAATAGCAGAGACAAGACTAACAAAATTTTAATCGTAATTATTACGTCCATCTGGTGTTAATTATTTGTAACATTAAAATGATATATAAAATACCTATTAGCATTTAATGAGAGTCAAGCATGCATCTATTACAGGCTTGTTAGTGTGATTCGCTTCTCATGAACATAAATAAACATTATTATGATCTCCTGTCTCGCATAGCACTAACAAACTGCCAATCAACCCAGTTGACCAATGGGCGCACATTATTCCATTCCATAGTACTGACTGTCATGTAGGTACTGAGTCTAGTTAACACATATTTAAGAGGCCTGCACAGGCAACTTGTTATATTTCCATGTGTGGACAAATCTCCGTACAGTCACTGTGAAGGCGCGATAACTATTGTGTACCTTTTACGTGATTATCTTAAAAGATAAGAAATACCTAATGCAATGTTATGTTTGCCCACCTCTATAAAATACTTTTCAGGCACTTGTTTTTATTGGTGGGTGTCGTGTTTCTTATTACTCACTCAAGTACATTAATATTGAATTACAAAAGTATTTATTTGATACGAGTGCGGTGTAGGCAAATAAGGTTGCTTTGTGTGAGGACCGTGATCTAATTAATTCAGGTCATATTACGAAAAAATCGTGGGCGCTCTTTATTATTATTTATACTGTCTCATCATATAGATGGTAAGTAGTTTCAGTGTTGAATTAATTACTCGCTTCACTTCAACAAAAAAATTATTCTGCTATCACAGAAATTACTTAAGTAGATTACGCAATAAATTAATTTAATCTCCAAAAACTGACATTGAAGGACAAACACATACGTATGTAATATAATTCAACATTGGTAATCTTATCTTATACAAAATTTAAATCCCATACTCAATACTGATTTACTCTGCAGTGTCAATGTTGTTTACAAACTGAATTACGTATCATATTTTTCTTTTTCAGATGGATTTCCAATTAAAATGGGGTGTGGCCGGAGTGGGTATGATTGCTCACGACTTCCTGACTGCGCTGGGCACGCTGCCGGCTGACCAGCACAAGGTCGTCGCCGTGGCCGGCAAAGATCTAGAACGTGTCCACAGATTGGCCACGCTCCACAAAATCAACACTGCCTACGAAGGCTACGAGTCACTAGCGCGTGATGACTCTATAGGTAACAAAACGTCCTATTGTTTACACGAGGATCTGTATACAAACAAAAGATAACGAGCTAAATCATTAAACCTGAATGACTTTGACACTTCTCCTAACATAACACTTGGTCTTGGAGGACTTGCCTTTCCACTAACCTGCCTGATTTGCTTAACGCCTCACTTGAAAACTCTTATCGCAAGTTTGCAAGTTTATGGTTAGGTACATTGTGGGCACAAATATGATACTAGTCGAAATACACGACTAAACAATGGTATTATGTTATATACCTACTTTGCAGGAGTTATACAAGATCATTTGACGCAAATGTTTTCGTAATTAATTTTTATGAACAGGAGCACTAATTGCAACATAGACTCGTATTCGTTGTTCATTCTTTGCATGTTAGGGATGATTTATGAGTTACAGAAACCTAAATACCAATAACCGTCCCGTATATTTTGCGTAAATAACATTCTTAATCCCGACTAAGCAAGCAGCAAAAATGATTCATATCCAAAATAGTGGTCCAAATCATCTCTAACATGCATCTGATGAAACGTAATTCGCCGCAAGCTATTTGAGATGTACCTTCTAGAAGCTCAGTGCCTGTCCTTATTTTCGTTCGACGCAGTGCAGATTACCTCCAAACTTATAACTTGCATGATTACTGTAGTCTCGAGTCGTATAATACTTTAATCCGAGGTTGTACTTCAAGGCAAGGTAGATACGTTTGTCACTACCACGATATGACAAGACAACACGACACGCGACTCGCACCTGCCAAGAGCCTTCAGATTTATCTGAAATATTTTTCTTGTTTCCAGACATTGTATTCGTGAGTGTTCTCAATTTGCAGCATTACGAAATAACTAAATTAATGTTAGAGAACGGTAAACACGTGCTATGCGAAAAGCCTATGGGCATGACTTACAAACAAACTAAATCGCTGGTGGACCTGGCTCGGGAGAAGAAACTGTTCCTCCTTGAAGGGATGTGGTCGAGGTTCTTCCCTGCTTACGACGCTTTGGATCAGCACATATCTTCGGGCGGGCTTGGGGACATCTATCACATCAGCATACAGTTTGGGGTTGAGATTAACGACATTGAAAGAAACTTGTAAGATATTTATGATCGTTCATTGCTTTTGTCATTATCATGCTTTTCTTGTACCGACGCGTCAGCGCTATTTTCATTTTATTTTCGTCTGTGTTTTTCTCGTAAACGATTATCTGTATGTGTTATGATTTCTCTATTGATATCGGTCGTCAATTTCAGAATGAAGGACTTGGGAGGCGGTGCTGTGTTAGACTTGGGCATATATATGTTGCAACTAGTTCAGTTTATATACAAGGACCCGCCTACCGACATCGTGTGCACGGGCCACCTGAGCAAGACTGGGGTGGACGAGTCCATCTCGTGCGCGCTCAAGTACAAGGACGGCAGGACCGCCACTCTGTCCGCGCACACACGAGCCAATATGACCAACAAAGCGGAGATCGTGGGCACGAAGGGGGCAATAACTGTAAGTATATGATTATTGTCATCACACTGTTCACCCATTATGGTTTTTTTAATCCGTTCACACAGTACCTACATGAAATTACCGTGACCCCTGGGAATCGAAACAGAGTCGCACTTCCTGAGACCATTTCACTTCTATTAACTACTGCAACGGATTAGGTGTGATTTCGTACATTTTATCAATTCTTTGACTCTGTATAAAGAATACTTATACTTATTTATAGGTCTGCAAGTTCCACACCTACACAATACCAAGAATACTTATTCTTATTTATAGGTCTGCAGGTTCCACACCTACACAATACCTCAAAATCATCTTGTGATATTTCTTGAACTATTTAAAATCACAATTGACAACAATTCTAACACTCCGCATTCAGTTCAGTTACGACGTCGATGCAAATCATGTTAATTGTTTGTAAATATTATCTGTTGCAGCTGGACTATTTCTGGTGTCCCACGGTACTACAAATATCGGCAGCTAACAACACAGAGTGGAGTTTACCCAAAGGAAAATACAAGTTCCATTTCCATAACAGCGCAGGCCTCAGTTACGAAATACAAGAATGTTGGGACTGTCTCAGTAAAGGTAAGGTGTAACAAAAATATTATTACAACCGGTACACGCACTGCCAAGCTAAAATAAACACTAACTCTTTTACATACAACTTTATTTTCAAAACATCTCTGCTTACAGTGACATCTTTTAATTTATTTTTAAAATAACAATTCCATGTTTACCTTGTTCATGTATAAAAGACACGCTCTTTCCGACGACTTTTGTTTGTAAGTAGTCATTAACTCTATGTACTTACGTGTGCAAATAAGTACGCAACTCATTGTTATATTATACTCCGTCACGTCATGTTAAAAATGCTAATTACATTTATTTTCTTTAAAATGGAGTTTGCGATTGTGCGGGATACATTTTTAATGGTACCATTACTTCCTATTCTTTCATGTTATGTTAATTTATGTCGTTTCATTACAGGCCAGCTGGAAAGTCCAAAGATGACATTGGATGAAACTGTTCTGCTCTCAAAATTAACAGACACCATGCGAGCTCAAGTCGGCGTCTTGGAAACTGAACTAAATTAAAGGGAACAAGTTTAGCCTGATATACTGGCAGCCCCATACTTTTATAATGTAATACTTAATATTACTTAAAGTTCTGCTTTAATTATTTTATATAAATGTACCAATAAGTGCCAGTCGAGGAACAAATGCTACGCGTTGTGATATTTTACCTAAATTCGGCCCCTTGTATACAATAAAAGTTACTTAAAGTACAGTATTTACCTCAACTAACTGTGATTATTAGTGTGTTGTGAGACGGTTGTTAAATGTTAATATAAAAATATATACCGCACAAAATTTGCAACTTACTTTTATTTACTATTCGCTCTTAACCTTTAACTACGATAGACTGTAAGAAATATTCCTCTCAAATCGATGGATACAATAAATTACAATGGGTATGTTTCCATCTAGTCAAATACCAAATACAATACATTCCAAATGCCAAGAACATCAATTTTCTAACAAATTTGTACGTAACTGTACTTTGACGTCATAATTTTTAGCATCTCAATTTATAGCTGCAAAAAAACGAAAACTAAGGTCGTGTAAATCAGTCTCAGTGACTGTTATTTGATTTGACTAGGGGAAACATCCCAATACGTATATTTAAAATACAATCTATCCTGACGTGGACGTTATATCCATATGTTACGTCGTCGTGTATCGAAGCATGGACTTATTTATCATAGCTCTCGAGTACTGTGCGAATGATGTTGACTCCCTCGCGGATCTGTTGTTCAGTGATGACTAGCGGTGGCGCTAGGCGGATTGTCTGTCCATGGGTGGTCTTCATCAGTACACCGGCGTCACGCAGCCTCAAGCAAACGTCGTATGCTGAGATGCCTGTAAAGGAACAATACAAAAGACCTGAGTAAATCGAATATACCTAAGTGGTGAACAGAGAAGAAAAAAGTGAGCTGCGCGACGTCGCCGCGACCACGCATGCTGCTCATGAGAAAGAACCCTTCTGTGGTTCGAAACTAGTAGAGCTTTTCTCAGTATATTCACGTGAGTAACCCGCGATTTTACTACATAGAGAAGAAAAGACTTTTGGAATAAAAAGACAATTATGATTGACGCAAAACATGGTTTAAACCGGGAATAAAACTTTCTTTTTATGGAATAAGCCGGTAAATGAGCCGACGGATCACCCGATGGTAAGCAGTCGACCCATGGATACCCGAAACACCAGAGGTGTTACAAGTGCGTTACCGGCCTATTGGGGGATTAAGAATTTGAGGATTATTGGGGATTCGGGGTTTTGGGAGATTGGGACTCCTCCTCTGTGAATGAGGGCCTCCCGGTAACCGCATTCACACGACGAAACCCAATGGAAGCTTTGCTAAACGTTGCTTTTCTGTAAGGCCGTTGTATCACTACAGTCGAGCTGGTTCATTCGTGCCTTGAAACTAGTTAAGCATTTACTCTTACGAGCAATCGAGAAATGGGTTAAGTTTACTACATAGGAAATATGAGAATCATAACACCTGGAAGAAACTGCTTGAAAATATAAAATAACGTACTGTCATGAATAACGATGGCACACATGAGTCCCCTGCCTCGCACTGTGGTGATCTTGTTCTTGGGAATTTTGTTCAACTCTTCAACCAGGATTTTACCGAGCTTCTCGGCATTCTCACATAGTTTCTCTTCCAACAGCACCTAGACAAAATATTTATTTAGTGGAGCAGTCAGGTGAATATAAAAATCATAGGCGTCTCTACCTAGGGTAGGTATGTCGATTAAAATGTATTTTAAGCTAGAGGTTGACATAAACTTGCTATGGTTTAAAATACATCAAGCTTTCCCAAACTGAATTCAATAGACTTTCGATTTTATTATTATACAAGAAAATTGGAAATCTATTGGGGTAGTCAGTAAGTAACAGATAAGAATATAGAAAGTACTAACACTAATAAATTGATGTATTATAGATACCTTAATAGCTTCAGTGGCTACTGCACAAGCAAGTGGGTTGCCTCCATATGTCGATCCGTGAGTACCGGGTGTGATCACCTGAAATAAATAAATAAAAGAAATATTAATCGCACGTTCAAACAGTACAGTTTGAGAAAAGGCCTTTGGTCAATATTGACGACTTATAAACTGTTGATGGTGATGATGAAATGCGAGTTCAAACATAATGTAAGAATAGGTTTATACGATTACGAGTACATTCTCTTATCATCCTCACTGATATATCCAGTACTGACTGATTAGTGGTCTGTAATTCTGTATTAGGATATCTCGTAACTTTAACGTCAATTTAAGCAAGCTATAGAGAGGGCTATGCTCATAGTATCTCTGAAGGATAGGAACGAGGTGATCCGACAGAGAACTAAAGTTACCGATGTAGCCCAAAAGATTAGCAAGCTGAAATGGCAGTGGGCCGGTCACATATGTCGAAGAACCGATGACTGCTGGGGTAGAAGTGTTCTGGAGTGGAGACCGTGTCTAGGCAAACGTAGTGTAGGGCGCCCTCCAGCTAGGTGGAGTGACGATATACGCAAAGTGGCTGGTAGTGGTTGGATGCGTAGAGCTGAAGACCGAGCTCAGTGGCGTGCCATTGGAGAGGCTTATATCCAGCAGTGGACGAAAACAGGCTGCTGATGTTGATTACGATATCTCGTAACTTGGTAAAATGTAAAAATATAATTGGGAATTTTCAACTCTATCAGAAGTAACACTGTCTCGAGAATGCCAAAGCGACAAAAATCTAGATTAGTACCTATGTACCTACTACAGTTCAGTATGGAACTGATAATCGCTAATGTTACGGAAAATAAGTATAATGAGTTTAGTTAGCGCTATAAGCTTACTCATTCCACATGGAAAACTTTTAGATTTACGACTTAACCAATAAACCCATCACATATTCAACGAATAATTACAATTTGTCGCGAGTGCGACTGCCGGGCAAGGGGTCTCGGGTTCGATTCCCGGGTCGGGCAAAGTATTACTGGGTTTTTAAAAAATTCTCAGTAGTAGCACGGAGTCTGGAAATGTGCCCGGTATATGTATGGGGGTGAGCCTATTGCGGCTCACCTCCTATTACATGGGACTCATAACATAAATAGTGAAAAGTGGGTGTTACTTCTGTGTGCACCTCTGCCTACCCCTTTGGGGATAAAAGGCGTGATGTTATGTTGTCGTCCTTAACAATATCTATGAATGAACACATCTTACATCCATGACACTGTTGTTGGCCAGTACTGCGGACACTGGCATTACTCCTCCACTGAGCGCCTTGCCCAGGATCAGGATGTCAGGCTTGACTCCCTCGTGGTTCACCGCCAACAGTTTGCCAGTACGACCTGCAACCAATGACCATCCAATAATAATGTAGTTATTTTGAATATCCTGCCAGAACAATTCTTTGCAACGGACAACGCGTAGATATTAGGATTGATTATATTGTCTTAAATATTTTGATTGACTTTATACACAAAAACAATGATTTTCTTTCTCTCCATTTGTTAATTTAAAAACTCCCGGTAAATTACCTACTAATTCATCAAACGTTTTCTATATAAGACACGTTCACAAATAGGACCAGAATCCATATTAATGATTTATGATCAAGGCAAAAGATACAAACCTGTAGATACCTATGTATATGTAAGTAGTTTTAATATTAGCTAAGTAACTACCTATTTTGTTGCTATGTTATCTGCCGTGTCCGTGTACACTGTAGGCGTAGCTATATATACTTAGCATGGTTCAATTATAAACGGCACTTAAAATTTTACGGCACACGTTTGGTGCGGTGGCTGGACAACCGGCTGCCGCGCAACATGCCGCCGGTTCATTTCCCGCACGGAGCATTTCTTTGTGTGATCCACAAATTGTTATTTCGGGTCTGTGTATCATGTGTATGTAAACTTGTATGTTTGTAAACGCACCCACGACATAGGAGAAAATCCTAGTAAGAGGCAATGTTTTAAAAAAACGGAACTACCTAACCTTCCATCCGAAAAAAAATATTAACAAATTATCTAAACAGGATTTAGCCTTTATATGTTCTGTGGGATTTAGGCAAGAATAAAGACTATATAACATTGGTAGATAGGTAGATGATAAGATGAAACAAAAAACGTATTGAAATCGTATCATTAATTTGATTGTTTTTACCTACACCAATAGAAGACAAACACGATGATAATTATGTGTCAATGGATCAATAGAAAAGTTACAAACACAATCTCGTAATTCTGGTCTAAAGGGGTTAATGTAATCCATACTAAAGCTTTGCATAAGCCAAGTAAAATGGATAAACAAAGATAAAATTGTTTGTGTGATTTAAGTCAAGGGACAAATATAAAAACAACAAAGGTTACCCACTGGTCTAAAAACGGAAAATCACAATGGAAACATTTTATTTATATCCTCCCTATCTAAAGTCAACGGCGCCGAATACTTTCATCTATCAATTGTTTACATTCTGGTCTCGATAAACTATTGCCCTGAGCTTACATTCAGTACCTACTCACACCACCCCCTAATAAAAACTAACTACCTACGTTAAATGATGAAATATTATCGTTTGTTTAAAAAATCACAAGTGATCGATAACATACCTACCTATTTAATTAAAACCAATGAAATGGATAATTCAGTAGGTACATCGTTAATAGAAAATATTGACTATTGATAAGATTGATATATGAATAAGAAATAAGATGACATTTTAAAAAAGTACCTACTTAAAATCTTAGGATTCTGACCATTGTCGTCACAAGAAATGGTCAAAACAATACGCATATAAATAACTGCGCAGTGCAGATAAATTACGTAGTGAACCACTAATATTGCAAAGATTACTGTCGAATAAGGTCAATGTAATTTGTGAATAAACTATTGACGTAGTCGCGGCATAAATATAACAACGACACTGTTATCCTACTGTTCTAAAAACGGAATCAGAATGGAAATATTTTATTTATATCCTCGATATCTTTAGTTGAACGACGCAAACACATTCATCGATACATATAATCATATTGTTTACACTTTGGACATGATAACTTGTTTGTGACCTTTCTAAATACTCACCCAAACCGGTCTGTACTTCGTCGGCGATCCAAAGGACGTTGTACTTTGTGCACAGCTGTCTTACTTTCCTCAAGTAACCGTCGTCGGGGATCACGACACCCGCCTCGCCTTGGATGGGCTCTACCATGAATGCCGCTACGTTCGGGTCTTGAAGTGCCTTCTATGGATTGAAAAATGAATGGTAATTTACTATTTTAAAATTTTTAGAATGTTAACCGGAATATTAGGCCTGAAATAAACTATATTTATTATACTACATTAAGGACAATTGCTAAAAAGTATTTACTAAATCAAACACCTTTTTGGTATCTATTAATCAGTTAGTAATTACATCTATGAATCAGTGTTCTTACCTCTAGAGCATCAGTGTTGTTGTAAGGGATGAGGTGGAAGCCAGGCATGTAGGGGCCAAAGCCTTTATAACAGCTAGGGTCCGATGATGCTGACACTGCAGACATCGTGCGCCCCCAGAAATTGCCTTCAGCGAAGATAATCTGGAATAGAAAATGAAATTGATAAAACATTCGTATTTCTTCTTTCAATTGGAGGACAATCGTATCTAATGATTATAAGAAGCTTTTTTAATATCGTATTCGTTGAATTATCCGGACTCTTCTAGTCGTATAAAATGATAACCTGTGATAAAAATAATGATTTGATAAACAAACGTTACTCATTAATAAGTTTAATAGCCAATAGTTCAAATTCAACGCTTGAATATACAAAAGTCAGAGGTTACAAACAAACCGGTGCAATGCAGCTAAACAAACAGTTTTTAAGCTGAATGAGCTCTGTTTGAACATGTGCAAATGTATTGCCAATTAATAGCCTAGACATGTTACACTATACTCTCAAACTGATTATCTTTGAGTCTTCAATAAAAAAATCTGACAAATCTCGAAACTCAATCTTATCATTCAGATACCCTAACTTCAACTGTGACGGTGAAAAACTAACTTCATTGATGAGTTTGACCTAGCATAAAAAAGAGAATTAACACTATGTCTGAACTGAAACGAATGCAAAAAGGTCCTAGAATATAGGTCACCTGTCTTAAACACCATTCATCATTTGGTTTAAACTGTCAAACACCAAGCGGTCACCGGTGACCGCAACCTATTGTTCTATAAGTGTGTCTACAAAACCGGTACTCGACGAGTTAAGTCATATAGGAACCGTTTAGTAGTAAATCAACTTACCTTTGCTTGTCCTTCCGGAATTTTCTTGACATCATATCCCCATTTCCTTGCAATCTTGCAGGCACTCTCACCGCCCTCTACGCCAGTGTTCATTGGCAGCAGACGGTCGAAACCAAGAAGATCCGTCATAAATTTCTCAAATTTACCCAGCTGATCCGAGTAGAAAGCTCTGAAAAGCGATTTCATATTATTCAATAAGTGAGGATATAGTTTCACTTTCTAGTAGGTACATAGAACTTAGGTATTTATTTATTATTTCATGTAGATACACCATACAGCAGACAGTATTATAGAGGACAACACATTACAAGCATGAGGTTCCATAATTGGTGTTACTCGGGGGAAAGAAGACAGATATAATGTTTGACTCTAATTTACTTAATTTAGTCTGTACTGAGTCAATCTTTAAGTTTGTACCTCCAAAGTAAATAGCTGTGCTGAGTCTATACTGTACTTTTGAGTTACCTGGCATACAATTTTAATACTTTTAGGCTATCTATTGGATGCATTATCTGCATTGCAAATGTACGTATGTATATGTTAATCTTTATACGTATCGAATAGAACGTTTTTATTGCGAAATTTAAAAATATTATGCAGGAAATAGCTAATTTTATTATTAGTAACAATGACGTATAATGTGCGTTGTAGCAACCAATTTTCGTTTTTTGCAATGCACGTTCAACCTTGGCAATGTAGAAAACGAAAACAATAGACGAACGAAATAGTTATTTTTAATTTAATGTGTATTTCTAATACACATCGATGTTTTGGACTTTATTTGTTTTGTTTGGTATTTGTGACAAACATAACTACATCATTCTCCAGAATATGGCGCAGACTAATGAGGAGACTAAACTCTACGTAGGTGAAATAAAAGTTAGAGAGAGAGCAGTTTTAGTTTCAATAATAGCCATGACAGGCGCTGTCGGAATATCTGCATTCTTCATAAAAAGCAATTGTCAAAATCTACATATAAATAGGTCGTGCTTACTTTTAAGGTGAGTCAGAGATCGCAATTGAAAATATTCATGTTAATTTAGCAAAAATCGCTCCTACCCGGTGTCAGTCGAATGTGTAGGTAATTCCTTAATCGACCCTATGATACTCGCGGGAGAAGGAAGGTCGGTGAAAATGTATTCTACTCTGTTACCAACATATGACTTGGAGTCAGATCAGTCAGACTTTCAGTCAGATCTGTATTTAACTTACCTGGATACAAGGGTGAGTTTTTCAGCTTGTTGCTTGAGAGCAGCGATGATCCTCGGGTGGCAGTGACCCTGGTTTACAGCGGAGTATGCGCTCAAAAAGTCATAATACTTCTTTCCTTCGACGTCCCAAACGAAAACACCTGAAGGAAAGATACATTTAAGAATTAATACTTCATGACTGTTTAATGTCGCGTCTGATATCGGCTGATAATCGTGGTAGTAGGCAAGGGTGAAATGGAGCTGCGGAAAACCTAACGAGTCGCCGGGGCTCCGGCTCGAAGTGCAGGAGTAGGAACGGGGTGGTTTTTAGTATGTAAGAGTCTGACACTCCCTCTCGCGGGAGAAGACATTGGATGATTTTTCCCCTCCCACAAAAAAGGTAAGGGTAAAAGGTTTTCCAGACAACAAAATTAATATTGAATTCGATTCAATTTCTGCGACTCTCAGTAGAACAATAAATCACGAAGTTCCGCCAAAAAAAATCACTCATCTTCCTTCATATTATTCAAAGAAGAAGACTGCAGTAGTAAAACTGAAGCATTAAGAATAAGAAGTCTGTCCTTAAGAAAATTATTACATATTTAGATGGTTGTACTTATTGGTTGACGTGCACTGACATCCAAACAAACAATTAAGTTCATTGTAAAATATTTTATCAGTTAACTGTATGCACAATTATACTAAGGAATTACCATTAACCTAGTTAATTGCTGTGATATAAAGATTAGACAAATAAGTTGTATTTACATAGTTATTTATTCTGTAAATACTTGTGTATAAGTTACATGAGATTTAACACCGAGCTGTTTACGGATTTTTATTGTATTATAAAATGTTGATCTTGAGAATCGTTCGTTTATTTACCTGACGTATAAAGTAAGGTACATAATACTTGATAATACACACAATGCAATTGGAACTTGGACCAACGGAAAAAAGGGGTAAAACAATCCTTTTTTAGGTATTTGTTTTTTGTAATCTTATTTTATTGTATGGTTAGGTAAATGATAACAGTTTTCTAAGCCTGCCTCGTTGTTTGGTGGGTCACAAACTAGAATGCAAGTTGAGCTCTCATAATTGCTAGGGATGTACCTTAATACACTACCGACAAAAAGTTTGGAAGCACCTCTAATTTTTGTTATAACACATAGTAAATGGCTATAGGCGAATTTCATCTTTTTCGTAGTTTAATATACTATCATTAAAAATTATTTTACTGTATTAGGATTAATCGTTGTGGTCTTATCTTAGAGATATTGATAAAAATTACAATAACCTATTGATGTACATTTTTCCCTATTACTTTATTTAATTTGCTGAGTACCCTATAACCATTTTTCACGCGTCATAGCTTATTGTAGGTAGTTAATATAAACTGTCATCTCTGTTAAAAATAGTGATTCGTTATTTGCACACCGTCAAATTGTATTTTTTTTTCTGTACAACTACAACTTAAAAAAAATAGTAATTTCCTTATTTTGTGGAGAAAAATGGGCAAAGGAAGACAGTTACCTATTGAAACACGATCGGTTATTATTGTTTTAAAAAGTGAAGGGTATTCTGAAAAAGATATTGCAAAAAAACTCGGTATATCGCCTAAGGGAGTACATTACACACTTGCTAGACACCGGGAAACTGGCAGTTTATCGGATCGAAAACGGAGCGGAAGACCAAAGACTACTTCTGCAGCAGAGGATAGGTTCATAATAACGACTTCAAAACGTAATCGTCGACTGACAGCACCGGATATCACTCGGGAGTTGAATAAAACGCGATCCAATAAAGAGTCAGTTTCTACAGTGAAGAATCGTCTTTCATCTGCTGGTCTGCGTGGTCGTGTAGCAGTAGAAAAACCATTGTTACGGGCAATACATAAGAAAAAACGTCTGGAATGGGCAAAACAGCATGAACATTGGACAGTGGAACAGTGGAAAAGTGTATTATGGACGGACGAATCAAAATTTCAAATCTTTGGCTCTAATCGACGAGTGTTTGTGCGCCGCAGATCCCATGAACGAGTATCTGAAAGCTGCTTGGTGTCATCAGTAAAACAGGGTGGTGGTAACGTTTTAGTCTGGGGGTGTTTTACTGGAACAGTTGTCGGAGACCTTGTTAAAATTGATGGAATTATGAGGAAGGAGCAGTATTTGCAAATATTAAGAGATCATGCTTTGCCTTCGGGGATTCGTATTGTGGTTGAACCATTCGTGTTTCAACAGGATAATGATCCCAAGCACTCAGCTAGAATATGCAAAGCCTATCTAGAAGAACAGGAGTCGAATGGTACGCTTGAACTGATGGTGTGGCCCCCGCAATCACCTGACCTATCGCCTATAGAAAAATTATAGGATCAGGTGGATCGAAAAGCCAAAGAACGTTTGCCACAGAGCACTAGAGAGTTGTGGGAATATATACAGGAAGCTTGGAAAGAAATTGGCACCGAATATTTGATTAAATTACTGGAGAGAATGCCTAAAATTTGCCAAGCTGTTATTAAGGCAAAGGGTAGTCATATTAATGAAAATCAATTATAAATTATGTTTGTGTTTAATAAAGAAAAAATTGGTTTTATTTTGTAGTTTAATTGTTGATTTAATTAAATACCTAATCAGTACTCGTAAAATTGTATTAATTCCTATATTTTCCTTCAAAGATAATTAATATCTAAAGTGCTTCCAAACTTTTTGTCGGTAGTGTATATGTTGCACAATAGGGGCTCCGGAACTGGATCTATCCAATGACTCGGTATCCTAACGGCGACCATTAAATACGAATACGATACTGATGCCTAATCTTTCTCCTCTAAGTGCTTATTAGAAATGTCTCCCGTCATAAAAAAGAGGTTACCATTGCTATCGACAAAATTTTATGGCAATGGCCATTATTCTTAACTTCTAATGTTCTACAAGCCGAAGTTAACCTTTCGTATCGTATTATAGTGTACTAGCTGAGCCCGCGACTTTTGCCCGCGTTTGCGTGGAATAGTGATTCATAGCTCCTGCCCCGTAGTTGATAGCATGATAATATGTAGCCTATATGTTGACCTGACCTGTTAGTAATATTCATGCAAAATTTGAAGTAAATCCATGCAGCACTTTTGAGTTCACCCGGACTACAGACAAACAGACAAAAATTATAAAATTCATATTTTTTGTTTCGGTATCGACTATAGATCACGCCCATGAAAAGCCCCAAAGAATGCTTGTTCTTTAAAAAAATATTCTATTTACGCTTTCCTACGATTTTATTATACATATAGATAAGAAAGATGTTTCATCCCAATACAAATATTTCATTTCGTCATCCTATCAATATTATTGTAGAGTAAAATGACCCTAAAATAATCGACTATTAAAATGAAATCAGAAAACTAAAATGAGGGGTCAGTAATCTAATCTTACTAATAATATTAATGCGAAAGTTTGTGAGCCTGTGTTTCTGTTTGTTACTCAACCAATCACGTCTAAACGACTGAAGGGATCGGGATAAAATTTGGAACAAGATGACACATAGGCTACTTTTTACCAGATGGGAACGCGGGCGAAACCGCGAGCAGAAGCTATAGGGTTATATGTATTATAAATACCAAAATATGAACTGCCCCATAAGTTGAGTGATCGCAAATGTAACTGCCGGGGAATAGTTTGAATCTGGCAGAGTAGATACTTAGGTACCTACCTATAGATAAGCAGTGTAGAGTATTTTTCGTAGGTATGTATGTAAATTCCGTATAATCTTAAATATTTGTGAAAAGTACAATTTTCATTTAAATAAACAAAAAGTAGGTACCTATTAATTCTATTAGTTGGTTTAATTTGTGTCACATGAATTAGATTTGTAAAAATACTGGGAAAACCCCTGTGATGTTATACCTACACAGTTTTTTATTTATGGGTACTTAAACGATGTATTACGTGAAACATGTCGAATCAACTTTAATGGGTATTTCCCAGTTTATTTTCTATCGGTAGGTAAACATAAAATTTTATGAAATAAACAAGGGTAATTCCTTTTTATTTGGTATAACTGAGAAATTTACAGTTGTATATTGGCAAAACAATACTGAGTAATTCCATTGTTTCGTTAGTTTATATACGTAAATATTAGGAAAAAGAGTATAGGTACCTATTTGGCTTGCTTAGTGACATTAAGGCGGAAAGCTGGCAGAATGCCATACACTCCAATCTGTAAGATGCCAAAGTTCGAAAGGGGCAAACAGGAGAATAAAAATGTTAATAGCAAAACATTAAAATGGTTTAAAATAAAAGGCTTGATGTTATAACTTGTATCTTCGTCGCCTACCTAGATTATAAATTATAATCTATGGGAGTTATGGCAGTTAAGAACCCTGGTACAGTTTGTTTTTTTTTTAATTAAGTTTAATAAATACGTATATCCCAACCCATGTTTAAAGATAAATTAATGTAAATAGGTAGTTAGTTCTCAGTTATATAGCTTAAAGTAAAACTGTTTATTAACCGATTTCAAAAAAAGGAGGAGGTTCTCAATTCGTATTGACGGTACGGTCGGTACGGTCGTCCGTATGTAAGTTTTTTTTTATATTTGTTCGCCGATATCTCCGTTATATGTGAAACAATTTTGATAATTCTTTTTCTTTTTCTAGATTATTATATGCCTGAATATAAATTTTATTTTATTTATTAGAAACCCCCCAAAAAAGCTAAACCTATCAATTAGTTAACATTTATTTTACGAGTATATACTCGTAAAAACAATGTTAAGGTATAGGGGATAGGAGCAGATGCAAAGATAGGGATAACGACTTTCAACGTGATTACATAAATTATTCAAAATTATAATACTTTATGATATAAATATAATAATCTATGGGCAGACTAGTATTCGTTTTGTCATATTAAACTCGATTCATTGTCAAGTGGTCAAATACTTCGTAAATCGGGGAAGGTCTTAAAAAAATCTTATAATAATACTTCCCCATCAGAAATCATAAATTTTATTCAAGACATCATCTCAGTCGGTCAGTCCAGAAAAACAGTATTAGAAAAAGTCTGTCGTAAATTCAGAACTCCTGGAACTACCCTATCATAAGGATAGGGCAGGCCGAGATAGCATTGCCAAAAAATATAAACAGATTAGTCAACGCAAAACTATTGAAATTATCTACTTCAAGAATCAATGTTATGTCAACTTACCTTCGCCACGGCTAAGGGCAACAGGCACGGGGGCGTAGTTGCGGCACCCATACTTGTCCTCCAGGGCGAAGATCTCTTGAGAAGACAACTGATCGCTCTGTCCAACCATGCTGTACAGAAAAAACAAAAAAAAATCAATAAAAACAAAAAAAAACTCAATTGTTCAACTCGACTTTTTTTATGTTCATAAAATACGTACGTTATTTCGTATGTAACTAGTGTATAACGATCTAACACTAACCTGAACCTATGACTTCTATGAGTATCAGTATTACAGTGACAAAAAATAATGATCATGTGCCTTTATATAGCACCGCCCTGAGATGAGACAATAAAGAGTTTAGATTGCAGACTGTATATACATAGACGTAGGCACTTAAATTATTTCAATAAATATTATTAATAACAATTATTGCGCCCGGTGATAAACCTACAACTGAGTTATTGTTTGATTGATTACAGAAAGTAGGAAAGATACCAAAAACAGTTAGCGATACCTTGTAAATAACAATTAACTATTTATGTCAACGAGTCGCTAAACTCATATTTCAAACAATGCCGATGCTGTTTTATTATAAACCTATATTTCATTCATGCAAATATCTGAATGGGCAATGAAATAAAATCATTATTCATAATGAAGTAAACAAACAATGTACACATTAGCGATAAACTCTTGATGAATGTTGTAATTGAAAGAAATGAAGCGGTCGATATATCTACCTTGTGTCTGTTAAGTAACGCATTTTATTTTATTTTCAAATAAAATTCGACTAGAGTAAAACCGTTAGGTAAACAACCCGGGAGAGGTGTGTCTGCGGCCAAAAATGTCCAATGACTGATTATAAATTACTGGCGTCGGAAAAATCCAAGTAGCTACAGATTGTTTACTGTGTTAAGACATTACGTCATTCGCCCCCCGGGCTGATAATATCAATCGCGAAACTGGACGTCATTCGCAACATTTAACCCACTAAACGAATGTGTCATACGAGCTTAATAGAGGAAATTTTTGGCCGCCTTGAACCTTAAATCAATGAAGTCCATTCATATAACTCACCCTGTATAACTCACCTTTATTTTAATCTGAGTAATAAGTCACAGGTATTTCTTATCACGAACCAGTGTGACTATTTTTTACTAACAATTGTGTGGATTCAATTCTGTTAACTTCTAGATATTTCTAAGGAGAGGTTATCAGTGTACGGTGGTGTAGGTACTGGAGTTATTTATAAATTTTACATCTAAACATCACACCTCACCGGTTGGCTAATAGTACTCCCGTTTTTCCCTGAATAGTGTATATGTCAGAATATTTTTTTAAAAAAAAAAGAATATTCTCATGTGTTATGTGTGCGTTTATAAATATACAAGTTCGCATACAGAATAACACCCAGAGCCGTAAGAATAATTTGTAGATCACACATTTTCACACAGAGAGCTGATCCGTGTGGTAATCGAAACCATTACACGTTTCTTGGCAGCCAGTCCAGCTACCGCGCCAGCAGTGCACTTTTAGAAAGAATCTACCATTTTCATTTTTCATTTAGAAAGAATTTTCAAGTTCATGACTCCTGCTAATAGATGCGGAACTTATCATTTCATCTTTTAAAAAAATTCTTAATAGCATCACGAAATCTGAAATAGTGCCCGGTGCATGCCAATGCGCTCAGGCGCTCTCCCCTAAAATTAGGGAAAAATAGGTGTTGCTTATTATTAAACAACTACCCACCACTTGGAGAAATAGAAGGCATGATGTTATATTAAAGTGTTTCATTACATTTGCTACCACTGTAGATCATGTTTGCATAATAATTTACATTTGATGTACGGCCTATGTATCATTAAATCGAGACGAGTAGAGTCGAAGTTTTAAAAATATTGTAGGTACCTAGATGGGGAAAAATTATCTCCCACGTGTACCTACCAATTATAATAGTGTTAATTAAAGATTATTATTGTACTGGCATCCGTACAAATCAATAGTATGTGAAACTGCACACATAAAAATCACTTAGTTGAGCTTCTCCCAGTTGTGCAGTCTCTTTTTGTGTCTTTAGGCTTAAGTCATTCTTTTTTTTTAAGGTCGAAAAGTATCTAATGACTTCTCCCGCCTAGGTGAGGCGGAGGGGAACTGTCAGACCCTTACTGACAAATAACTACCCCGTTCCTACTCCTGCACTTCGAGCCGGAGCCCTGTTAACTTGTTACGTTCTCCGCAACTCTATAACAAATAAAAATACCTATAAAAAATCCTATGTCATTCTGTCTCCTGCATTAATTAACCGAAGGAAGTGGAAACTATCGTGTTTTTTTTCTCCTCATTATTATTGTCGTCTATATCGTTGCTAAACCCAAAACAGTTATTCATATCCCTGGGACGTTCCGGGCTTCAGTGCTTCGGTATTTCCATGCTTGTATCTTCTGTACATCTTGACTAGATGTCGGAGTGGTAGGTAGCGGTTTTGGGAGTTGTCGCGGAAAAAAATACTTCGTGAAACTGAGTGTCGGTAGGTACGAGCCCCCCTGTATCTTAACATCATTATCACGTATGTCTGAAAGTTAAAAATAACAAGCCTCATGTGACAAATAGATAGCAAACAAAGAATAAAAACATAAATGTATAATGTAATAATGTTTTTAAAAGAAACAAATGAATGTTTGTTGACATTGAAAAGTCTTTGATTCCAAAAATAATTACTTCCAATGGAAAACTTTCTTTCCAATAAATAGGTAGGTACCTAACATATACTATATTTTATTCCAACTTTCCAGCAAAATCGGGACTCGGTCGATAGAAATTTTCTAAATTCCAAACAGGCGAAACCGCAGGCAAAATGGTAGTTTCTAATACCTGCCTATTAAGTTCGCATTGAGTTAGCAGTCGTGATCTAGTGTTTATATCCCCGTAGGACAAAAACTACTTAATGTTGTTAGGACATAAAATTATTAACAATTTGATCATGACCTTCCTTAAATAGTTTCACGAATCATGCAGTTTGAATGTAATAATAGGAACTAACCACAAACTCACACAGTGATACGTCGGTGTCGGTCCTATAATTGTTTATTTATTAGTATACAATAACGTCAACTGGTATTTTCCTTTATTCGTGGGTGTGTCCGTCACAACACAATTAAGGCTATTCAAATGTCTTCGTCACGAAATTGAGGTGACAACTGTCGCATTACGACAAGCACAAATAACAAACAAAACACACACAAACATCTGTAAACAATTTCTAATGTACAAATCAAACGCCACTCAATTTGAAGTCGCGCCTGTGTATAGTAGATAGTTCTGTCGCGGAGAACCTAACGGGTAACCGGGGCTCCGGCTCGACGTGCAGGAGAAGGAACGGGGTGGTTTTTAGTCAGTAAGAGTCTGACACTCTCTTCCGCCTAACCCAGGCGGGAGCAGTCATTTGATGATTTTCTCCCCTCAAAAAAAAAAAAATAGTAGATAGTTCTGCAAATTCTTTGTTTAATGACAGAGACGGTACGATATTTAAGTAGCTACTACATAAAATTGATCAGCCTTTCAGTATTCGGGTGCAACACTTACAGACAACGTCTCTGTATTAATGAAATTTTAATGAGTCTTATGAAATTTTCAATCAGCTCACAATTTCCTAGTAATTGGAGACTCGCTTGCCAAGGAGGAACAAACAAAAAAAGGTTCTTAATAAAAAGAGTGTAGGTATAAACGGGTATGTCTATAATACCTTTGATTATTTAGATTATTTAGATTCCACTGACAAACGGTGAAGGAAAACATCGTAAGGAAGTTTGTCTACAAAAACCCTGATTTCATAAAGTTTGAAATCGCCAACGCGCATTGAGGAAGCATAGTGAATAATGGTCAAACCTTCTCCGTGTGAGAAGAGGCTTTGCTCAGCAGTGGGCATTCATAGGTTGTTGATGTGACATAGATCTGATAGACCATTACACACGAAAAGTGAACGACAAAATACTTCTAATATTAAAAAAGTGCAATGCAATTACTGTAACCGTAATGCAAGTTCGTTTGTAATGGAACTTACATACTACATAATATATGATATTAAGTTTATTTCTATGTTTAATTTTTCTTTCTGCCTCGTTGGCCGAGTGGTCGCAAGTGTGACTGCCGGGCAAGGGTATTTGGGTTCGATTTCCGAGTCGGGCAAAGTGTAACTGTGTTTGTTAAAAAAAATCTCAGTAGTAGCACGGAGCCTAGAATTATAGAGCCGGTACATGACAATAGACTCACTCCCTATTACATGGGATTCATAACATATATAGTGTAAAGTGGGTGTTACCTTGTAGGTACGCAATAAGTGCCGTAATGTGCACCTCTGCCTACCATTTCGGCGATAAAAGGCGTGCTGTTATATTATGTGTTTAATGTTTCTATGGTAAGTAGTTTGCAACGTTCAGATTGCCCTTACTTCTGAAGCTTAAAGTCCTATGAAATCTTATTAAGCATGACCTACAGACGAAGATTCATTTATTATCCCTACTTATCTTATCAGTTTCAACCTTCCTTAGATTTCAGGGGTAAGATTTAAGATCAGACATCAGACTGTGATTAAATACCTAAGTATCTGAGTACTTATCTGTTCTATATTTATTTTACTTGCCCAAAACCGGAGTACTTACGTCAGTCGTCATTAACAAATATTGACTCAACATTTACTCAGATATAAATAATTTTATGACTTGGTTTATAGTTTAATTGTATTTTTTTATAACAATGTTGAATTCTGAAATTTACCTTAAGTAGGTAGGTACGTACCTAGCGTATATTATAGCGTATAGCTTTGAACATTAAGTACCTTAATTCTTTTTGATTTTTCAAGCACTATCACTTCTTATTGGCGTGAAATCTAAGATTGTTAATATAAGCTTTCTTCTTCAACTTATAAACCACAACAGCTTAAATACTTGTACAATATACATTGATTAATATCAGATATAGGTACATACTTACATACAAATAAATATCCACCTAAAATTGGGTTGTGTAAATACCTACACTACACTAGTTAATTGGGTAATTTTCCCCCAGAAGTCACCGTTAACTTGCCGGCGTCAAGGCAAAGGCAATTAGAGCTTCTATTTAAACAAATTTAATGATGCAACAATGAAATATTTAATACAATAATTATAATTATCTTCATAATTGCCTATGTAGGTATCTACTAATTACGTTTTGACAAGTTAAATGCTTATTCAATAATTATGTCTACGGAAATCTGATTTGATTAAACTCCAAATGCGCTTATAGCCAGTCATAGCTAATTATCCAGAAATGTAATCAAATAAGTCATGAACTTAGTTTAATTTATTTTACTTCATTAACGAATACATAACTCATGTCTACAGACAATCAGACAATTGTCGTTACTAATGGAGATTCAATTTAGCTTATTTAAAAATGATTAGGTAGCTAGGTACACCAATTGATTGATCCAACAAATAGCGAGGCCACAACCACTACTTGGAAGCAATAGATATTTTTGCTAACATATCAACCGGCAGCGTTCGGTGAGTAATGCTTATACCTTCTCCGTGTGAAAAGAGGACTTTGGGTCCGCACTACGGCTTACGTGTCAATCCATAAATACGACTATACAAGGCTTAACTCATACCAGCTCAACTAGAAATAAAGGTAGATATGTAGACTTAATGAAACATAGTAGGTAAAGTAGTTCCCGGATTTAATGAAACATAGTAAAGTAGTAGTTAGAGAGATGACGACCAAAATTTTTGTCTCATAGCAATACGGCCAAAACCGCCTCAAATCGATAGATACGATTATCCTGAACTCGAAAATATCAATATCAGACGTTTTCCGCGTAGCGTTTGATCTGACCACAAAAACACCAGACAAAAAAAATGTCTCATAGCAATACGTCTGAAAACCTTTTTTATTAGTTTTGATGCGAACAAAACAATTTTCAGACGGAAATGTGAACGCATTAAATATTGAGACCGTTTTGAAAATGTTAACAAATTTTACCGATCGGTATCATGGCAATATGTCTAAAAATTGTTGCACATGATAAAATAAGTTGTCCACATGTGCAAAAAATGTATATCAGACAAAATAAGTGTAGAACCTTCTCTATCAGACAACTTTTCGATACTCAGACATTTTTGACACAGCAGAAATGGCCTCCCACGCAGTTGCTACACTTTCGACCGTTACTACACACCTACTCGGGTTCAGAATCATACAATCTAACGATTTAATAGGGTTTTGCCGTATTGCTATGAGACATGGTGTTGGTCGTCATCTCTCGTACTATAGTTCCATTGTTTAAATCCGGTGATAGTGCAGAACCCAATAACTATAGGCCGGTCTCTATTTTACCAGCGCTCAGCAAAGTGTTTGAAAGGCTGATGCTATCTCAGATGTTGCGTCACTTTAACATGAATTCTATCTTTCATGATCAACAATACGGATTCACCAAAGGTCGCTGCACTACTGACGGGGGAGTAGCTCTAAGTAAGCGGGTGTTCGCCTCTTAGGAAGAAGCACGGGATGCCATCAGCATATTTTGTGATCTTTCGAAGGCATTCGACTGTGTTGAGCATGAGACACTATTGCTGAAGCTGGAACACTACGGCATTCGGGGGACGTCGCTAAATCTGTTGAAATCATACCTTCAGCAACTTAAAGTACAAGTAAATAAAGTAAATTCACAGGGTGCTAGCATATCTATGGGTGTACCGCAGGGCTCGATACTAGGTCCATTCTTATTTTTAGCGTACATAAATGACTTGCCCCATTTATTTAAAAATGAACCGCAGATGGTATTATTTACTGATGACACTTCATTAGTTTTTAAAATAAATAGACGCACAAATAGTTACGACGACGTGAATAATGCCCAAATGAAAGTTCAAAATTGGTTTACATTAAATAACTTAGTACTAAACAATAAAAATACAAAATGTATTAGATTTGTTTTGCCAAATGTTAAAAGCAACGAATGTGACATATTATTGAATGGTGAGAGATTGGAGTTTGTAAAAGAGACAACTTTCCTGGGAATTACTGTAGACGACAAATTGCAATGGGGTCCTCACATTACATCATTAGCGGGATGATTGAGCTCTGCAGCTTATGCTGTCTGGAAGATACGACAGTTAACTGACATAGACACGGCAAGACTAGTGTATTTCAGTTACTTTCATAGCATTATGTCGTATGGCATTTTGCTGTGGGGACACGCTGCTGACATTGAGTCTATCTTTATCTTACAAAAGCGAGCCGTCAGAGCTGTCTACAATTTAGGTCATCGCGAATCTCTCAGAGAAAGGTTTAAGGAGATCAACATTATGACCGTTCCATGTCAATTTATTTATGAAAACATTATGTATGTTAGGAAAAACCTACAGTTACTTATTTCGTAAAGTGTCGGACAGACACCACTATCAAACTAGACATAAGAATAGATTAAGTCAGCCAATTTCGAGATTAGCGAAAGTAAGTCGTTCATGGGATTCTGTGTTGAATGTTATAATAAGATACCAGGCGATGTACAACAACTAAATGAATCCAAATTTAAATTATGTATAAAGAAAACTTTATGTAGACAAGCATATTACAAACTTAATGAATATATAGAGGATAAAAATGCTTGGATGCAGGCTAGTCCGGCTCCACAGGATAACTAAAAACACTTGTTTTAATGAAATCGTAAATAATACAGCCATATTGCTAAATTGTATATTGTTTAACTTAGATAACCATTGTAAATGTGAGAGCCCTGTAATTAACTTAATATTAAATTAGATTAGTAGATTAATTTGTGTCAGCTTGGAGTTGTCATGCTCACTCAAAGGTCACATTGGCGGTGGCGCGTGCAGTGGATCGCTCGATTCTCTACAATATGGTTGAGTTGGGCGGTGCTGGTGTAGGTACGTGTCATGTTCGTGAACGGGCGCCGTCAACTGGTACTGGTCAGCTCCAGACTGTATTATTGTCCTTAAGGTTACTTTCGTTTTTGATCACTTTGACTGGATTTTAGTGTTACATTGTTCTCGCACAATCCAAACAGCAAAACTATGTAACTAGTAAATTGTATTGTGAACCTGATTGAAAAAGAGTAACCTATGGAGTTTCTTGGTTGTTCTTCTCCATAGGAATCAACACTTTGGAATGAGCAAATAGCTTCACTTCTTATTATTTTTTTTTGTTGACGTTCAAAAGTGCCATTCTGGCTTAATTGAAATAAATGATTTTGACTTTCACTTTGACTTTGAAGACTAATTTCTTCAACAGGTAAGGCGACTAGTGAAGTCACGAGGCTCGAGCTGGCCTCTGGCTAGACTTAAGACTCAGTGACCTCAAAAAAGACGGTAGCAGTGATCACATGCCTCTATACACAGCCGTAATAAGCGTTTTATAGTGGTCTATTTAGAGGACCACTGGGTGTTTCATGCTATTGGCACCACCAGGGTGATTTTTGTGGTGAGAATTCGACATTCCCTAGTTATTCTCCCCAAAAAGCTAGGCGCCTTTTGAAGACCTGACTTGTCTGGGTACAACTACGAGAAACTGTATCAGCTCAGCTATGATCTACAAATTGTATGAAATAAATAAAATACGGTTTAGAAACCACACATATACTATTTATTCTCTATGATCACAGTTCATAATGACAATCTCATTTAAATAAATGATACTACATTATTAAGTAAAAAGGATCAATAACTACCATTATAGAGGTAATACAGTAAGGACAGCACCTGGTAATGAGAAACAGTATTCCCACGATAACAATAATCTATTAGGCGCCAAAGCATCGCTATGTGGCGATAAAATAATGAAACATAGATAACATTACCAGGTTTTAGATTCTACTTTTGTTCTTTTAATAGTTCATTATAACATTTTTTTTTGTTATCAAGAAAATAATTAACACACTGGTATGTTATATTAGGACTATAACTAAACAAGGTACTACTAGTTTCTAAAAGCTGTCCGTACAGTTATTGAGCATGCAAAACAAGTAAATACTTATTACTAGTTAGTAAAACAAAATTTAACAACAACAAATATAATATCCTAATTAATAAGAATTGCTCAACAACTCTGAACATTCTAATTATATCATTGTATTGCCTTTTTACTAAATTCAATATTATTTTATGAACTAAATAAATATCAATTATTAATAACTCTTCATTTATTGGGTGGTTCATTTTGTGATTCACCGGCATGGTAGTCTGGATAAATAGGGAATGATTGGTGCCCCTTTTCTGGTATTGTCGGCAAAGATCCTCCTTCAGCCAACCTTTTGGCTTCAATTTTAGCTGCATTTATTTTCTTCATCTGAGCTATAGCAAGATTCTTTGTAATCTCTTCTTCTGTTGGAGGTTCTTGTCTGCAAACAGTACATTATTACAAAGTATCAATTATTTTTCAAGATTCAAATGCTATTCATTAATGGGAAAATAATCATAAGTACATCAATGGTTAAGTAAGACTATATATCAAACCACTGGATATTCAATAGGGTAGATGCCTAATTTTTATTTTAATGTATGTCTGGTAGATTATTTTAAATTGTTAGACACATATTTTTTTTTCTTACAGAAACAAAAACTTTCTATGATATGTTGTTTGGAAATGTTGCATGAAGTTCTTCTATATACATTTTATATGTAGAAATGATGTTTTAGCTTATACTCCTAAACTTTGATTTGTTTTATCTAAGTATTGTTTTATTATAGGACAAAATAAAAAAAATATTTCATTGTTTACCTAACTTATGGACTAATTAGATTTTTAATTTTCATACCCCGTCATCATCCCAATTCAACAGCTACAGTGATTGGGCAAACTGGACTTCATGCTAGTGCAGTAGTGCCATTTGGTGACCAAAAAAAGATAGCCCCCATATTCTGCTGTGTGATATGATATTGTAGAACAATAATAACTACCTTCGCATCCTCAACCAAGCCTCCCATTCTGCAGGTATGGGATCTTGAAAATCTTGGCCTTTTGGTGGATTGTACCACCTGGTGGGCTTCCTTTTACCCTCACTAGGATCTGCAGGTATTTCAAAATAAGAATTGCCAATGTAGTCTTTACCTGAAATTTAATAAAATTGTTTTTATAACATAAGAAACAAAAAGGTGTAGGATTATATCTAGTAGTATGTTGTTTATGTAGGTACCTAATGAAAAATGCCAACAAAATCATTTTCTAATATTAAAGTTTGAACCTCAATACACCAAAATCATGATTACATTATATTAATACAAGTATGAATTGTAATTATATATTAGCTACTAATTTTACATAAAGATATATTACCTACTAATTTCCCGTATTTGTTTCGTAATTGAAAAAACCTTTCTGAAAGGTAAAGTGTACTGAATATGTTTCTTTCATTCAAATTCTTGGAGTCGTAAATATCTTCGAAATTAACAACAGTAAAATTAAGGTTTTAAATACTGTATATTGTTATATTACATTAGAGCTAACACTAGTGAAGTTAAGACACTTATTACATACCCATATCATTTCCTCTAATCCGGCGTGGTTTAAAGGAGTTGATAAAGTTTCTAACTACCATCCAATAGACATTTCTACTTTGACCAGACATCTGGAAATATAGAGTCATTAGGTAAACATGCTAACCATCAATAACTAAAGATTGGAATAATTTCGATTGAAATTTCTTGACTGTTATTTTATGATTGTATGACTGTTACTTTTTACAAGTAGAAGAAGCATTACTTTAATACCTTTTATAATAATATCAATAATTACGTCGTTTCTCTTTTAAAAAAGTGTTGTCATTTTCATAACCTCGTCGTCAATGAAATCAGTCAAATTGACCACAAAATTGACATTGTCAATTTGTCATCAGCTGATTCCAAATTGTCAGTCTATCAATGACAAAATGATGCAATGAGTGAATGAAGCACAGATAACTTATAATTCACGAAGGAACCACAGAAGTCTGTTTTTTACAACGGGCAATTTTGGAGTTTTAATAACTAGTGATGTCTTCAAGATGACATAATTTTGGAAAAGAAATTACATTCACGGAAAGTGTAGTATTTTAGTTGTAGTTTTGAGTCATTTTTTGTTCATATCTGGTTAATGATATTCAAATAAGACAAAGATTTTTCATTGTTTTTATGTCGATGCTATTTATTTCTTTCTCCCTTTCCTTCCTAACCACAACACTCGAAAAGTCACAAACAAAAGACAGTTATTTATTACACATCACTATTGTGTTAATCGTGTTTATGCCTATACGTTGTTATAAAGTTAGGATATAATTTATTATTATTGGTGTCTTTCCCTTTGGACTGTTGAACTTTTTATACCGCAAACAGTATAATATTAAAGCAGTCACCATGGCGAAAATGGCATTTCAGCACCAGGCTGGAACAGCTATGGAGTGCCTTAGTGTAAGTTTGGAAGACCACTCCCAGTTTTGTTTGTTTTATTCTTTCTTTTCATATCAACAATGTATTGATAATCTTTTTCAGATACCTATAACACTCCAGAAAGAAGCTGGTGTTGACTCAGAAGGAAGAGAAGTTATGAAATGTGGTTTTAAAATTGGCGGTGGAATTGACCAAGATTTTCGCAAAAGTCCACAGGGATACACTGATAATGTAAGTTTTCCGCAAGTAGATCTCTACGTTTGAGTTTTCACTTATTATTGTAGCAGTTACGTCGAAACTATTAAAACAATACCTGTTTTAGGGTATCTATGTAACAGAAGTACATGAAGGAAGCCCTGCAGCAAAATCTGGATTGAGAATGCATGACAAAATACTGCAGTGCAACGGCTATGACTTCACGATGGTAACACATAAAAAAGCGGTAAGCTATATAAAGAAACATCCAATCTTGAACCTATTAGTGGCAAGGAAAGGTGTTACATCTACATAAAGCAATTTGTTAAAGACCATCTTACTTATAAACATTATTTAGTCTTAACAACTTGAAGGTTTATCTATTTACTATATTTATAGAATAGATTACTAACTTTGTGTTATCTTTCAAGATAACAATGAAATGAGCAATCACAAACACTATGAGGCATACTCATGACTTATCATCAATAATTCAATTGGTTTTGTACTAGAATCAGTCAGTAGCACTGACATACTAAAATGATTAACTGTTTGTTGTTTACATTCATTATAATTTATTTATATGTAATGTAATAAATGTTGATAATTATATGAAATTATGTACTTAATAAAATATAAGGACAAACTATATTGCAATCATGAATATTATTTGAATTATTTCTATTAACTTCTTTTCTTCTTATGAGTCTTATCAGAAGATAAATTAAGCAGTTTAACAGCTTTCTGTTGGCAATCAAAGAAATACAATGCCTGTTTTATTATTCTTAGTGCTACTATGTAGTTTTGATTCAACCCCATCTGATATATGACACTTCTTACCAATCAACTGCTGATTTGTACCACAATATCATGTTCAAACTACTTGCCTTAAACAAACTAATATAGGTACAAACTTCTTTTAATATGCTGATATATTGTAGCGAAAGTTTGTCCATACAAAATTAGTTTATATACATTGGAAATAAGGTCTATAATGAATGAGTTAGTGAATGAATTGGGGATCGAGCAGATAAGAGTAATATTACATCATTCTTAAAAATATCCAAGCTATATATTTTTTAAACTAAACAATTATTCCACGCAGTATTTCCTAAATACCAATAATATATTACATGCACAGCATGCACTAAGATTTACAACTATAGTTACATTTTTACACCCATTTTTTATATCTTTTTTATACATTGTATATTTTACTTGTAAAGTTTTAGTAAGTTTATAAGTTTAGTATTATGTATCATAATTAAATAAATAAGAATGAAATAATAATATCCAAATACTCAAGCGCTACTCAGTAAGTGATAAATTACCTTTTGTCAATATAATGTTAAAGGTTAAAATTGCATGTACTTTGTACTCAGACTTACTGTCTCTCTTAAAATATTCCTAGATTTTATACCATTAATAATTTTAGGTCTGTGTATAACTTATAAAATTATCTACTAACGAAAATTTAATGAAATAATGTGAATCGGGTTATTTTAAGTATATAAGTAAATATAATTGTTAGATTTTATTTAAAATTATAAAGTAATAAAACCTCAGGTGATTATAAGGTTTATAAGTAAATTGGTGAATTGTTTGAATTTTGAGTTAAGAGCTTGGAGTATGGAGCACTGAATTAGTATTATAAAATGACAAGTGATTATAATAATGTTATTTATTTTTTTACTTATAAGTTAGTAAAGTACTGTTTAATTGTGAAAAAATTGTAAAACTGTCCTACATAGTACAGCGAATTACTAAGAGGCATTTGAAAGTATTTTATTATATGAGTTACCAATGACATATTTTTATACTAAACAATTGCATTTACACCAGCAATAGTTATAATTTTTACTTGATAAAAATTAGCATGAATTTGTCATGGAATAATGACGTAGTTTAAGTATTTATTAGTGGTTATATTTTTGAATTTATAAAAATTTATAAATTGGTTAAGTATATGTATAGATACTATCTGCTTTACTCTCACATACATAATATTGAATTGGATTCATGAAAGTAAAATATATTAATTCAATAAAAATATGAATTTAATTTACAAATTGAGTGTGTAACTAGATAATATGGTAAAGGTGTTTGTGAGTAAGGCAGTTATTATAAGTTACTTTGTTATGGCTCATTATACTTAAGCATCATTAGTAAAGATCAAACTTTCTTACTTCATCATACTGAAAATGCAAAGTATTATTGGAATTTGTTTTGAAAATATTTTAATATTAGCCCCGAGTCAGGAACTCTTGGGTGGCGAATTAGCACAAGATTCGGTGCTTATTACAAGAGTCCCATAGCTGGCGAAAACTGGATGTTACACTGTGTAGTGTCCTTGCACTTTCGAGATTAAAAGTATTACACATTTACATTATCTTTGATAATGCAAGCCTATGGTCAGTCAGCTAAGTTTTTTTTTTACTGATAGAGAAGATTAGTAACTAATATTATAGAGCCTATTAATATTTGACCCCTTCTAAAAATAAAATAATGCAATTACAGTTTTTTTGTATAACTACATGGTTTTATGCACTGTGCCAAATAACACTGCTCCATCTATAATTATTTTATTTTTACATGTATTTGAACTGAAACATGTTATTTAATAAAATGAAAAACCATTTATATCATTTGCTTTTTATTATTTATCCCATCCTGTTCTGTATTTATTAAATACAATTGTCTTCACTGTTATGTACTGTTATCATCTACATTTTGAAGCATTAACAGAAATATGTATTCACATTAATATATATTATTACTACTTTACAAAGTTTCTATCATGAAATTAATTTAAGATTTGGTAGGAGGCCAGTCCCATTGGCCTTTGGGTGGGACAGATACAAGTGGTTCCCATGGTTTCCAGTTCAGCATTTTTCTAGCCAAGTTCAATTCATTTTCAGCCTGGACAATCAGTTCCTCAGCTTGCCCACAGTTAATTTTTGATTCCAGTTCATACACATCTTTAGTCTAAAAATCATAATAAATCATATTGTGAAATCATAGTAAACGGAGGAATGTCCTAATTTTATAAAATAAATAAATACAAAAAGTCGTTGAATTGTTGTTTACCTGTGTCAACACAGCAGCTCTCTCACGAATAAGTGGTTCAGTATGTTTCCTATATCCAGCGGATTCGGGCATTTTTTGTAGGACTCTCAAAATTTTGCCATACAGAGAACCAAGTGTGTGATGGGCATTTGGCGCTACTGCCATGCCAACAAGGCCTGTACTCTGGAATCATTGAAAACGTTGTTTTCATTAGTTCAATACAATATTCAAATGGACACAATTATATACACCGTTTCAATATTAGTGTCGTATTGATGTATATGGTGGAAATCAATTATCTTGAAGTAATATATAACTGAAACTCTTGGAGATAACAAGTCAAAATGAATGTTAAAGTTTTCATAATTGGGTTAGATAGTCATCTACGATTTTATCTCGTTTCTCATGTGAATTTGTAGTGATTCCGTCTACACTCTGTATAAGTGACTTCCATAACATAAAAATTATTTTAGAGAGGTCTTACTCCATAATACTTTACCTTTTTCAGAGATCCCATTGCTAGTGATTAGATAACTCACAATATGAAAACACCTGCAATGCAAACCCTCAGTTGATTTTTAGTTGACAATAATGAATGATTTTGACATTGACATTAGTCGCCACTACCACAGCTTAAAAAGCCGCTTTAAAGTCAAACAAATTACAAATTATATAATATGTTACAATTAAGAGACTGGTGTCTGTTAAAGGTATAACCTGTGTTACAGATCACCAAGCCCGGGATAAAATCGTTTCGGAGTCTCGTTTGCCAAAGAAGAGAAAAAACCGCTATAACTCGCATTCTCATAACCATCAGACATCAGACTATTTTGCAAGTCCGCCTTCCTGACCACCCGTCTATCACCGTGTGTCTTGAAAATAATTTCTAAGCTAGCTCAAGAACAAATATGTACATTTTTTTGGAAACTTGGCTATTAAGCCAACGAAGTCATCGAGTAGAATACTGAATGACATTAAACAATAGATAATCTGTGACCGTCCTACTCATTTTGATTTGTTGTTGCCATACAGAAAAACCATTTGTATTAATAAAATAATGAAAATTGTCAAGCTGTTTTTCTCAGTCTCAGGAGATTTTTGTCCGTTTCTTTCTCGGATTTTATACCAATAATAAATGGCCTTACATCTTACTTATGAACTTTAGTGTATGTTTTAATACACGTAAATTTGCTTAGTTTGTAATACTGTTATTTCCATTCCAATTTTCGTGTGTGCAAACGTGTTTTATAATGCGCTATTGGAGCTCGTTCATTTGTGTTTTTATTACTGGTTCAGGAAATATATTAAGTCAAATGCGATTATGACTATTAAAATCACGACCCAATGGTCATGTATCTGTGTTATAAGACAAATGAACTAAAGATTTTTATGGTATTTAAATAAAATCGAATCTCAGTGACCAAACTCTGGTATATCTCGCTCGGCACGTCACAATTCACCAGAAATCTGTCAAGATCACACTGTCAGTAGGTAAGGTACGTGAGCGTGAGTTTTATCATCTGATGAACTTCCATTTTATGTACTGTGTTATGCACAGTTTATATATAACAATGGGACGAAATTTCGTTTACTCATAATCAAATTGTGGATGATGCACATGCAAATGTATATGCATGCATAAACATGTTCTTAATCGTAATCTGACATTCACATAATTCATTTCAAAGTGAATAAATAACAAGTACTTACCTATTGATACATAGCTTTAACATACCTAATTGTATATACGTAAAATATATAGCACTTATACATTATGTGGGCATTTAATTACTCTCAAAGCAAATCATAACATTGCCTTTGAAGTGCCAATAAAAAAATAACAAAACATTCTGCTCAGTGGAGTGTCTTCACTGTTATAATAATGTAAAACAAAATTAAGGTTACTTTATAATGATTTCATGAATAGTATAAATACCATGTTATAATGATAATTACAAAGTGCAACCCTAGCTAATTTATGTGTGGTAATATATAATTAAAGTTTATGATTACTATTTACAGGTAACTAGCCATGGAAACAGTGCCTGTTGCTCCAGATGACAGTGCTGGAGCGAACCCCAGCAGTGTTAAAAGTGATGACAGCAGTCCCAGGCCTGACAGCCGCTCTGGCTCACCTCCACCAAATTGTGCCATATGTCTCGGCACATGCAAGAATAAATCCTTCACAGACTCATGTTTACATCAATTTTGTTTCACATGCCTTCTTACATGGAGTAAGGTGAGTTTTCATTTTCAATATTCAAATTTATCAAGAATTATATCTAGTGTTCCTAAAGGCTATCTAAAATACCTCAACATGCATTTTATAATGAATTGTTGATAATGATTCTATTAATAGGTACTTAGTTGTTGCTTTATTACATTTGATATGTTGATTTAATAATATTATTGTTTAGTACCTGACATGCCCAGCCAGCTCTCTTCGTTATTACAATTATTGAATATCCATAAATTTAATGAGTATTTATGATTGTATTCCAGGTGAAAGCCGAGTGTCCACTTTGCAAACAGGCATTTAGATCTATCATACACAATGTGCAGTCTAACTATCAATATGAGGAATACTTGGTTGTGCAACGGGAACATGAGGAATTGAATAACAGGATTGACATCAACAGAGTCAACGCAGCAACTCAAAGGTTCAGATACAGGTACTGTGGTGGGTCTGGTACTTGTATGATGTTGCAAATCAACTCATACACAACCATCACACCCTACAGAACATATTGTTTCTTGTTAATCTGATAAATGTTAAATAATTAAAGATGACAAACAAAATTGTGTATTGCACAATGTTATTGTTCATTATGCAATGTCTAGATAGGTCTAGAATCTTCTAGCCAAATACTAGCTGAGTCATGACTCTAACCCATGACCTTACAAATTACTTTAGAGGGTTTCCTCATCAACTTGTATAAACAAGTAGGATGAGTAACAAAATATGATGAATATTGATTCAAATATATTTTGGAAATCAACCTGAGGCTAAACAAACTTATTTCTTCCTCATGCATATCTCACCCTTTGGGAAATATATGGTTTGGTTGCAAACCTGTTTAATTCTGACAATAAATCAACTAGTTCAATGAATATAGCAAACAAATAGATAAGTTTTGAAAACATGCTTTATCTGATAAATGAGTTAAATGTATACTTATTGTCAAGTCATTATTTGGTATGGTAGTAAGTACTTAGATAAAAGAAGTCTACAAAACTTACTAGCTACCAATAGAACTTAAATAAAAATTATGTTGAAATCAATCTAAAGTATTTTATATCTATTTCTTGTGACAGATGAGTTTGTCATTTTTGGTTATTTTAGTATACAAACTTATCAATAATATAAGGCGTAAGCTTGTATCATACAACACAGGGTTGTGACTACAGGACCACGCTGACGCTGCCGCGGACGGACTCGATTGCCATCCAGCAGCTGTTACGTCACTACCCGTTAATGGCGGACGTGTACCCGTCGCCAGTGCCGCGCGTGCCGCCCGCTCGCCGCCGCCGCTCTCCCGCCTCCTTCCGACGCACCGTCTACAGACACAACCTGTGGGCTCGACCTCTACCAGACTTCACTGGCAGATTTCGTGATTGCACACCCGAATTCTATAGGTAAAATGATTCTCTTCTTAGTCAATAATATTTTGGTGTTTTCATGGTTGTGGTGGGTTGCCCCAATAAGAATATTTTGGTACCAAAATATGTATGGTTTATTCGAAAAATATTCCTCTTATTATGCTTTTTATTAAAATTTACTAATTTGGTCTTTCAAGGTATAATGACACACAAATGCATCGGTTGGTTCCTTGGCTTAATAGAGAGCTCCATTATTTGCTAAACGAAAATGAAGGCCACATTTCATACGTTATGACTCGGATCCTGGAATTGCTACCACAACATCATATTAACTCGGCTGAATTCAGAGAAGTAATGCACCGATATTTTGGAGAAAGAACTGAACACTTCTTGCATGAATTGTATTGTTTTGCCTCTACACCGTATGACATCACTGGCTATGACCGCAATGTCCAATATACGACTGATAGCAGAATATCTACAATGATAAACGAGGTGATATCTAGCACTGACTCTGAGGGAAGTGCAGATTCCGATATTGTAATGGTTTCAAGTTCAGAACCAGCAGAACCACCTGCGGGACCCTCGAGGTGCCCGGCGCCCGTTTACCCAGTCGGATATATACCATTGCCTACAACAGCTAACAACGTCATTTCTATTGAAACCATAGGATCTCAATCGGACTCGGATGACGACGACTCCGAAGTAATGGTCGTGGGCTATATCAAACCGCCTCAGGAAAGGACTCCAGAAATTGTGGATTTGCTAGGATCTGACAGCGACGTTATCGTCCAAGACAATCCGCAACCGGAGCCAGAACCTGCGGTAGCGCCGCGCATGCCATCTGTGAAAGTGACACTGAAGCGGCACCGCGTGCGGCACGAGTCCGACAGCTCGGACAGCTCGTACCGGCCGCTCCCGCGCCAGCGACGGCGCGCGAGACTGGCCTCCGCCTCCACCAGTGATACTAACCGTTCCACGCCTACACACGCAGCCTCTAACTATACATCTCCCAACCCTCGAATCGCCGAAAATTCCGAGACTGGCGAAACCTCCGTGAATTTTTATTCCTCCGCCTCGTCCACAATATCCACAAAGTCTAGTACAACCACTGCCTGCTCCTCGTCGTACGATAGCGACTATAGCGACGATACCAAGTTTGTAGTTAAAAATAAATCAAAGAAAAAGTCTAGCAGGGAGGCAACTTCCAGTAGAGATCGAAGGAAAAACAAAAAAAAGTCGTCACGGTCACATCACAAAGATAAAAAGAATGGCCAGTATTTAGACAAGGACAGGAGAAGTAAGAAGTCTTACTCGGGGAAAGGAGTAAAGTCGTCTCAAAAAGCGAGTAGTAGCTCTGTAACCTCGGAACAAACTTTACCTCCCTCCTTAGATGAACCCAGCACGAGTGGCACAAGCGGCACGTCTTCAAAGGAGAAACGTAAATCAAGCAAAGAACGGAAACGTCAGCGACGTGACAGTCGTGAGAACAGAAGACTGAGAAGTGTTGTTAATGTTATGTATAATAGTCATAATAAAAATATTAATGGATCAAAGTCAAGTGCAAATCATAATAATGTGTCTACAACAACTACAAGTAGGTCTGAGGCCGAATCCACTACTACTAGCAATGGATCACGAGTTGCCGAAGCGACCTCATTGAATGGTTACAGCGAGCTACCGTCCACGAGTCGTCGACCACCGGACTCCTCGTCGGATTCTGAAGACAATTTGCCATTAAATCTTACTTTACTAGGGCCGCATTCGTCTTCGTTATGAAGTACCCAGTAAATGTCATATTGTGATAGCCTATTGAAACGAAAGCATTAAAATTTGTGTTACATTTCCGCGTAAGTACTAATTGTGATCGAGTTGCATCTCACTTTCTCTAAAGTACTGGAAAAAATAAACCAAAGCCTTTGTGACTGCAAGTATTTGTACAATAACTTTGTATGTGTCTTGATATTTACATGAAAATTTTAGCATGTTGTTGTGGTTATCCGAAAAATATATAAGGAAAGTAATAGGTTTGTTGCTATTTCGTCACATTTAGGTTGATGCAAATCCCTGAAGTGAAACACTTGGAAACTACATGGTAATACTTACACAAGAGCTGCTACAAGCACTTGGCTCCATTTTTTCATAAAATGTGTAAGTACAACATGACAACAGTTTTGTTGCAATTTTTTGTGTATCAGTTATTTGTATTTTATTTTTACTTCAAAATTTTAGTACCAGTTCTGCCAAAAAATGATCATGTAATATAAACATAATTTCCCTACTTATTTCATTATCTTAATTTAATTACGGGTATTTATGTACATTATGGACGAATTCATTTGATGTAAGAATTTTTGATAAATACATAGTTATGAACAATTTACAAGTTGTGAATATTTAATGCTGTGTAAATAGTAAAAATGATTTTAATACAACATTTATTTAAATCTTAAATGAAATGTTAAGTTTTGCCATTTGAGGAATTATCGCGATATTATCGATGGACCAGAATGTAAAGCAGATGAAAGTGTATAAATTGTAGCTTTGCCTTAAAATTCATTCAAAAAATGAAATCTGCTACTTAAGCAACGCCTTTATTTACGATGACAATGTTGAGAAATATTATTGTTACAAATGGTCATAAGGTTTACAGAGACACCGTATTTTACTGATGAAGCCAGAAAATAAAGTGATATATAAATAATTGTTTTGATATTGTTCTTAACCCGATCGTATATTAAACCGACTTCAAAAAAAGAATGTATGAATGAAGATGTTCTCGATGTGACCTGTATGTATATTTCTGCGTGATTGGCTGAACCGATTTTGATGAAGGTTTCAGAAAAGTGTTTGTTACACTTGGGAGAGAAGATTTTAATATACTAATTAACCAAGTTCAAAAAGATTATTATAAAACAATTATTTGTAAGGATCTAATGGGGTCTATAACAGTTCATTAAAGATCTTATAGGCTAGTACGGTCTGCAACACAGAAATCCTTTCAAATGAATGATATAATTATTGGTATGTAAAATACCAAACATATACAAACTATGCGTTCCCTTGGCGTCTACACTTCATATCAGAACACGCTAAACTGCTTCAGCCAGCTTACATCTCTCCGCATTAGTCTAGCTAATGAGTATGTACCTGAAAACATTTACTCTTCGTCGCCGCTTTGGTGGAATCTAAATCTAGGCCTATTGAGTGCCTAGTGCGAGTTCGTATTACATTAAAGCGATCGACCCGTTTATGACGATCGGCGATCTGATTGGCCTGCTCCAATGACCTAGATCGTTAACTTGGAGCCGCGAATCAGAGTGCTGAATGCAGTGACGTTTCGATCACGATTACTGTGGTGAAAAGTCAGATGATAAAGTTGGTGATATTTATAACCATCTACACTAACTAGTTGGTATTTGCTTATACCTGGTCGGTCAAATAGTGATCGAGTGTTTAACTACAACTATGTAGTTGTAGAGAGTTAGTCGTGTTGAGAATCCCATCGCTTCAGAAGAATATCATATTACCTATACAAAGGAATGCTGAATAGGAATAAAACACCTTTATTTAATTATTCCATTTTACTCTTAGAATTCAACAAAATACATATTCTATGTTGTGTAATACTTACAAATTGTTGATATAGTCTGTATTAAAATATAAGATTACATCTTAAAATATTAATATTCCTACATTTTGCTGCACCTAGTACACTTGAAAGAAAATTACATATATAATATATCTATAGTCTGAGAAAGCTAAATAAAAACGTGAAAGCAAAATCATGACCAATGTATGTTGTACCTAGCACAACAATAATTCTCGTTATGAAGTTTTCATCACTTCCACTTACAATGTAGGCCATAATATATCAATTCATCAGTGGCAGCACAAAAATGGCAAATATTCTATTTCATATTCTAAATAGATACACATTGTTTCTTACTCCTCTCCAAACCCCACAATTCTACTTTTATAAAGTAAACATTTCTACAAGTGTAGTGTAAAACTGAGCAAAAATAAAAACACTTTGATGGACGGCTAGTCAAGTCATCAAATATGGACAACAAAAGTTGTACGTAGGTATAACCATATTGATTATTATTTTATTATAATGGTTCTTTATGAAGCATACAAATTAGAAAATCATCTATAAAAATCTTGATTTTCAATTCAGACCTTATTTCTAACTAATTATTATTAGCAGCAAAATTAGTTAGCACCAGCGTATAAAGCCAATTAGTAATGGGTGACACTGTACTGACTACGGATGACGCAGATTGCAAGGCAACAATTACAAAAGCATTTCCTTACAAATAGAATGCACGTCTATGCAAACTTACATACAATAAAATATATTGCTCTCATTATCACTACAATTTTAAAGGCTTTTATTATTGATGTTTAGAACAGGTGACTAACAATTATGTTTACAAACTATTATCATTATAATGTTGGGCATCGGTACATAAGCTTGTATTAAGGGAGCACAAAAAAGGTATTTAGAAATAGGAAAGACAACTAAATTGACAAGTTTATTTATCAGAAGGACTGTTGTCAATTTGTCAGAAGTCTTTGAGAGATTGAGAATCATGCTGTAAATATCTTATAGCTGATCCTGCGATCATGCAGTGTACCTATATACAACAAATGTTGATCACAAAACTTATCACTGTTGTGCAGTACCTGAATCACACCTGTTACATGGAAGTTCACATTGTACTTTTTCAATTACAAAAAACAATACGATATAATGACTATATACCAACACGCCAACATCAATATTCTATTTGACTAAAAGTATTTCATATTACACAGGCATCAGATGCCAAAAGTTGTGGCCAAACCAGCAATATTTTATAATATATTATTTTTTTTTATTTTGTGCATATATTACTTATCGCCTAAAGATAAAACCAATTATGTAAATGTATAACCATCTGAAAAAAATGAATACAATTAATATTATTTTCAAAATCTTAACAAATGATGTTAGATTTATGCTTTTGTTATATGGAACTTACATATAAGGGTAATAGAAGATTGCATAAAACGCAGTAGACAGATAAGGTGACAGTGTCTATGGGTTTACTACAAAGCTGATACTGGACAAAATCTTAAGTTTATGGAATCTTAGGATTATCAATTAATAGATAAGGACTGCTATCTAAATTCCCAGAATTAAAGTATTTCGCGAACACTGACGAGTATGATCGAAACAAGAATTGCTCATACACGAAAAATGACAAAAACAACTCCAGCATAACATTTTTACTTATGAAAATCTTATACTATTATAATATTACGCGAATCTATGAAACTTAGTTCGATTTGAAAAATTATTATTTGTGTTGAATATTTATCGAGGAAGGCTATTATAGGCTATAAAACATCAGGCTACGATCAATAGGAGCTGAGCAGAGCGAGTGGAACCGCGCAGGAGTGGCTAGTTACTTCATAAAATGCTTTATTTCACACATTTCGATGCCAAATTTGCTCATAACTGGCGAATAGAATATACACGCCTACCGCTTTAGGTAATAAACAGTATGTACGTTTTGTAGTCTATTGTCTTAAAAATGTCCTAATGCTTGATTATTATTCCATGAGATTATAAAAAGTTTATTTCCTAGACTTATAATGGCTGACTTTTAAACACGAAGGAAGATCTCGGTCTGTCTACTTTAGCGCCCAAAAAAGTAATAAAGTACATAATTTGAAATTATTTACCCTGGTTTTACTAGCTTATAAGATGTAGCCGGTGTTGCAACAAGATTTACATGAATCTGTGCTAGCTGTAGCTACACAGAATGTTTGACTTTACGATGGAGTCACTTCTACCACTGTATTCATGTGTTGAGGGTGAGGCTTGAATTCCACCACTTCTTTCCACACCAGTTCTGCAAATATAAACGTAATTTGTTAATATTATTAATTTAAGATATAGTTATTTTTAGTTTATGAAAGTTGTGTTGACCACAACTGTAACAGAATTCATTAGGTAACTATTATTTTGAGCATAGGAAACTAAAATATAAAGCACAATTAAAATATTTTTCCTTTACTTAAATGCGTTGATTTGTTTATAAAGTAAATAGATGATTAAGACTAGGTATAAAATAATGTTGCCTTTCTTGAACTTGATAAGTTGTTTTATTAACCGTTATCGCTATAAGCATAAAACAACAAAGTCGGATTGGTCTTGTATACTCCTATTTTGTCTTTCTGGCGCGATAAACTAACAACTTGGGGTTTAATCAGGATCTTTTTATTTTTATTTTTAACAAAACAATAAACAAACTGGACCTGGCTCATAAAAGCTAACACAGTATTGCCATAGATTATCGACTAAAATTAAAAAAAAAATCGTTCAAGCCCGCCATTAATTACAGCGAAAAAGAACTGAACCGTTTAAATTCCACAGAATGTGAATAGCAATCATCGAGAATTATTTTATCGTTAGTCTTAAAACATTATCGCAGCAAATCCATCAGATAAGCTACGCCCCCGTCGGGAAACAGAACATTCCTCTTTATTACGTTAGTATTTGTGATAACACTATCAACAATAACGAGTGCTATTGGGAATCACGGTACAAGCGTTCGCAAACCACTTATGCACTCCACCACTTATCAACATCCTGAAATCGTTATTTAACACCCTTGAATGAATGACTAACACACCCAAAGTTCCCCGAAAAAAGTGTGTGAATTATCTATGTGGGTAGATAAGGTCATGATCTACTGAACCCACATAACATAGTACAGTTCAGTTTATTACCATCTTTTAGCCAGTAAATTTATGATCGAAACTAGTATAAAACTTTTCTTAAGAATCTGACGGCTTATTGATGACATAATAGTACAAAAATCTGACCAGTAATTTTTAAGTTTACCTCGTTCATAAAGACAGACGTGCAAGGGAGCTTCTTTTTACATTTATCCGTTTCACGTGTGCTTTCCTTCTTAGATACCCAAGGTCAATAGGTTATTTAACGCTAACTTTATTTTTATTAGAGAAAATAACTTCTTTCATTACGCGCGCCTAGGATCCCAAATGTCTTATGTGGGCTATATAAACGCGTGTAACGCTCGCATACTTATTCAAATCTATGACTGATTGTGCAAACAATAAATATTTAATCAACATACCAGATAGGTATATTACCCGTATAAATATTATTAAGACGTTACCTTTCCATTTGTCAACGGGGAGCTCCATATCCTCAAAGCTCTGATCGTAGGGCGCCGACACGGGCTCGTCGTCTGGGTCAGCATACTGCGCTAAGTACTCGTGTGCAAGCGCCTGTTCTGCTGTTATACGCCTGAAACACGTACATTATTTCTTGTATATTAAATAAGTCTACGTTTAGTCAAACAATCGTCTGGTGGTAAGTGATAATATGGTCATTGATGGAGCAGACCTGCTTATAAGGGACCTTTTCACTCAAGGTTTGAATGGAAGGTCTGTTCTGGAAACAGATTCTAGCAAGGAGTTCCATTTCGAAGCCGTCGTTAAACATTACGTCATAACAGTAAAAAATATATGATAACCTTTTATAATGATCTCATTGCTCAGTACAACATAAAAACTGAAGTTGTTAGTGATTTTACAAAGTACCCATCCAAGTTCAAAATGTTATTGCAACAAGTAATTTTATGTAGACCAGCAAACAAGGAACTGCTGTTTGCTTTTTTATGTTTCGAAAATACTCAGCAGGTAAATGTAACTACAGGCGTTATTCATTACAAGGTAAGAGGTACCTATTGTATCAGACATGTTATAAATCATATTCATATCAAGGTCAACAGGTTCATCTCAAGATTCATGACAAACCTTTGGTTCTGATTTGATTAATAAATTCTATGAAATCTCCAAATACAATTTTGTTTTGTAGGAAAACAAGCAAATATAATATAATTACCTCATCATTTCTTTTTACAATGAATGATTCATATTATAACAAATAAATAGTTAAATATACTATGTTCCCCGTTTTGGTAATAGGGGAATTTAGAACAACTGCACTCTGCAGTTCACGACTAGTTGACGTATATGGTAACAGAAGCACTTGATATAACGATAACGTCACGCCTTTTAATCCCTAATGTCGTAGGCAGAGATGCAGATATGTACAGTGGACATAATGTAACACTTTTCACAGATCCAAACTCCGTGCTATCACAGACCATTTAAGCGAAAATCTAGAATACCTTAGCAGCCCCGGGAATCGTAAGGGGAATATAGTAAAAATGTTAAATACATAAAAATACAATATCTTACTTGTCGGCGTCTAACTCTAGCATGAGTTCCAGCAAGTTGACGGCAAGAGGGTTCGCACCGCGGAACACCTCGCGGAAGTCACGTCTCTTCAGTGCAGGCAGCGACTGAATGTAGTTCCTAGCCTGGAACATGCATATACTACTTTATAGAAAAAATTGTTCAAAACTTGTAAATAAAGTATGCCGCGCTCTCAACGCGGGACTTGATAATTGATAAACCGGTTTAATCGGTTTTCCTATATTACTGTCTCTACAGAGGCCTTTGTTTCCAAAACCTCCAAGAATCTCTTCAGCTGCGTTTGTTAAAGTTAGGTCCCATTCATATCAGTACGTGTCATGAAGCAGTCCCATTCAGGCAAGATTGATATAATTAATAATAGTTATTTTACCTACTAGAATAATAAAATTGATAGTCTGATTTTCGGTGGGGGGGGGGGGGGCAAAGATGGGATGATACCTAGCAAAGCATTTTGCGTCTGTGATGTATCATTGTTCAAATTCCAATAAATATGTAAATGTTCGTTAGCGAACCAATTAAAAACTATTGTGCAAAATTCATTATTTTCAATGATGAGTATGATGACTCATTCCACACAAATAACATGTTGGTACTTAAGTAATTGCCACAGACACAAGTTAACGAACATATAAAATTGGCACGTCACGAACAATAAATAAAACGAGCACCACATTTCTTTTATGAATTAACGACGATGACAACAATTACATTTATTTATATAGGTATGTACCTACATTTAATTATTCTAAAGACTAGACATTATTTTGTTAATTTCTTAACTCAAAACTGGCATTAATACGGCGATTATTATTATTGGTTTAATTCTATAATATGACTAACCAGCATTATTGCTCTCAATACCTATACTTTTAATATATTAAATGATTAGTTTCCTTACCTCTTCGCTAATTATTTTGTCAATTGTCTCTTGATCAGGCCGTCCACACAGAAACAATATTCTTGTGAGGTGATCAATATCTGAGTACACGCATGTTAAGGTTACACAAGCACCAAACTTACACAAGCCATTTATTGACACGACACAATAACATCAATATAAGCGAGTTAATGGCGAAGCTACATTTGACAATACTGATGGTACATAGTAATATTTACACCTAACATTGCACCACATCACCTGTGATAAACAACGAATGAAAGCTACAATACTTACAGACTCTGAAGATATCTTTGACATAAACTCCTGAGCAGGTGTCCCAAGTACCTCCATGATCAAATTCAATTGATGGATATCTGTCTCATCCATTAAGGTTGAAAGCCATTGATGTTTAAAAAAATAATAATATAAAAGCTAAGCTGTAATTGAATATATTACTAACTCAAAATAACTAACCAAAACTAAATAAGTTTTACAAAAACATCGAAAGTGTTGTAATGATAGTTTGTAAGATAAGGATATAAATAAACACAGTAAATGTACTATTAACAGATGAATATGGCTTTTGTATGGTTATGTAATAAGTACACTTACTTTCCCTGTTAGCAAATGGATTTTGTGACAAATCCTACTCATATTATGTACACAAAACATTAAATCAACTTTAGTCATAAACATAAAATGTCTCCAGAGATTAAAAAATCCCAAATGCTGTGTACAGAGACAGTTTAATAGAACTCCCATTATAAATAAAAGTTTAAGAAAAAAATATTTTAGCTTAACATACATTGCATGCATAAATAATGTCTGTCTACACTTTCAATAAAGTTTGTACTAAGAAACTGTTCAATTAAAAGGATACGGTCTGAACCTGGGAACAAAGTTCTGCCAGTCAATAATTCAGCCATAATGCAGCCTACAGACCAAATATCAACAGTCTGGTTGTAATGCATCCAGTTCAGCATAATCTCAGGAGCTCGGTACCACCTGAAAATTTGGTATTCATTTATCTGTGAAATGCAGCCAATATGACCTAAATGTGTAAAAGTATCAGCCGCCAAAAATTCAAGTTTTAAGATTTTAAAATGTCTGTAAAATATTCAATATCATAATAGGCTATCAGTAGTGACAGTCATGGTAATCAATACTAAGTGAAATTTAATAGTTCTAATCAAAAACTAAATAATAGTGTTACCTTTGAAATTTATTAGAATGAGATTGTTAATGATATAAAGTTTCTACATACCTTGTCGCTACATAGCCAGTCATCTCTGTTTCAGTTGGTCTGGCTAGACCAAAATCTAAGATTTTCAATTCACAGTCCTCATTGACAGCAATGTTAGAAGGTTTTAGATCCTACAATTAATAATTGTGTTAATGTTATGGAAATACACAAACTGATGGCTAGTGTAGTTAAAACATGCAATTGAAATAAATTTGATTCAATACAATTAGGAAATTAGTTGACAATTTTCCTCACGATATAAATCAATCAATGAGCAAAACAATGAATGACTCAATGATTGTTGGTTCAATAAAATGATTAAAATAATGGAAAGCCCTGTCCTGCACCTGTAGCCAAAAAGAAAACAGGAAAACATCTTAAGTCTAAGCAGACAGTACTATTTATTGGTCTGACTCACACATTCCGTACTGGGTAGCTAGTGCCAAGTCTAGCAGCTGGGGCATGTACTGTATATAGACAACAAATAAACCAAAGAAAACATACCCTGTGAATGATTCCTGCTGAGTGAATATATTTAAGACCACGGAGAATTTGATAGACCAGAAATTGGACATGGTCATCAGACAGTTTTTGAGTGCGAACAATATTATTTAAATCAGCCCCCATCAAATGTGTCACTAAATACACTTGCTGAAACTCTTCCAAGGTCTTTTCTGGGCTGAATACATCCAGCAGACCTGTATGAATATAATAAACACATTAGTTTTTTATTTTCTTCTGATGAATGAGAATGATCAACTTATTAGGTAAGTGGTTTCTTTTACTATATAGTAACTATTTTTATTATAACAATATAAAAAATCTTAACTAAAGTTAATGTTAATTTCCTAAACCTGTTAATGTTTGAAGTCTATAATCCTCTAAAGTTGGAAAACAAGTGTGATGGTTGAAATATCTAAAAATTTGGTCCTAGATACAGACTTACAATGTTACTAAGAATATAATTTATCAAAATATCATTTCGTATTTATTTACCGATAACATTCTCATGGTTCATATGCTTCAACATCCTCAGTTCGCGATAAGTGCGCTTGGCATGCACGGCAGACTGAAACGGTCTCGCCAATTTCTTAATTGCAACTTTCATATTATGCAGAGTATCGATCGCGGAACTGTAAACAAATTATTCACTTCAAGAACAGACAAACACCTTAATCTGCACGCCCACGTAGGGGCAATGTACCTAATATTACATATTCTGTTGCTAAGGATATATCAGGTCTATTACAATAAACAAGATATTCGCATATATAGTACAATAATTACAAATAATACTGGCATATTGCCGAATATATTCATAAATACATACCAAACTTGTCCGTAAGCACCTGAGCCTACAGGTGTAAGCATTTGATATCTTTCTGGGACAATCCATTCTGTTTTATTTATTTCTACCTTATGGTAACGAGGCATATTGGATTCTGGAAAAGGAGAGTTCAATCACTTCTGAATAAAAAGATTATTAAAATTATTTTATCACGACTTATCAGCAACAACCAACTCAAGAAGATTTTTTTTTCACAGATTCAGAAATGGTGTTGCCGTTATGAATGTATAGTATAATGTTGCAAGTCTTAATTTTACCAAGGTTTTATTATCTTCAAGTAATGCGTGTATGTGTGTGATACAGTGTACAAATGCGAGATATGATTGGGTGTGTAACTTTCGATTTAATGTATTTTATACAATACAAACTTTCTTGAATCCTATCACAGGCAATTATTATTGTACCTGTCATAAAAGTCATTTGTCAGTTAAATGTCAAACTGATTGCGACTTGCTTGTAACCCGAAATTTTACAAAACTAAATAATAATCAGTGGAAACATCAAGAATATTTAGCAAATATGGCTCAAACAGCGGGCGTGAAGCCTATGGCCATTGCAGGGCGTGTGGCAATAGAACGTGAAAGATGCCTTGGTATGACCGATGTTGAGAGAGCTTGGCGTAAGCAGTGGTTGAAAGATCAAGTCTTGGCTCCTAATGAACCTGTGCATGTCGAAGAATATTGGAGAGAACGCACCAATATATTCCGCCGTATCTACCGCAAGCCTTTAGACAAATTGTTCTCGGTGCTCACGCCAGTGTTGGTGAGATTACATAACACCAATAACCTATCTGTTATAAACAATGAAGTGGTGGAAATTACAATAACTATAACCTTCATTACAGGGTGCATCACGCGCTGCTGACTATAGATACATAACTGGGAAACTGGGATTGATCGGTTTTGGGATTCTTTGTGGTCATTATTACTTCAAATACAGTGGAAATGTAAGTTTTTCACTTAGCTGACTTAAAACTTTGAGTAGTCTAATAACTGCAAAGTGATTTATTTAGGAAAAACTGAAGAGGCTATTGATATTTAGTTTATTATTATTATGTTAAAATTTCAGGACTGGACTAAGAAGGGAGGCTGGAGAGTGCATAAGTCGAAGCCAATGGTTTTGCCAGGACAGCCAGGTTTCCCCTTCAGATCTGGCTTCAAACCTGATGATTATGCTGCCCAGGGATTCAAGAGCTCCCCAATATAAATGCTAACACAAATATATTAATTTATAATGCAAGGTTTTCCATCTGTTATTGCATGATATTATTGTTTATTAGTTTTATCAATAATAGTAATTAAAAGAGTATAAAAATAAAATTTTTATTCTTAAATAATAAATATACTATGCAAAGTGTATGCCTTCAGAATTGAAAGCATGTAACACCTTCATGAAGTCATCTATGTCCATCATTCTGGCTCTCATTTGATCTGTTTCAGATTTGGTTAATATTTCTTGAACCTTTTCCTTTATGTCAAAGTTTTCAGGTATATCCTGAAACAGAGTACGGCTGGTTAGGGGTTGTTATAAAAAAAAAATGTATTTGTGATTATGGCAACTTTAGTCAAGCTTACCTTATTATGCAGAGAGCAATGCACCCTATAATTTTTCTCTAATACTGCCATAGTTGTGCCATGTTTGAAAACAGCTGCTAATGTTTTATTTTTCCTTACAAATGCTATCCTAGTTAAGCCATCCCATTCAATAAAATTTATAGGTGGAGGTGGATTTCTTGGCTCTATTCTCACAACACTTGACTCTACTTTCGGTGGTGGTCTGAAGTTGTTTTTGCCAACCTGTAAAAATGATTGTTACAATCATCAAAATGTAAAAATATTATCTTGATAATAAAATTAATTCATAATAAGCACTGTATAGTATTGTTACCTTCATCAACATGTCAACTCGTGCCAACAATTGTGTGTTTATTGAGAGCCTGCAATATAACTTGTCACCAGGTTTTGCAACAAGTCTCTGTGCAAATTCTTGTTGAAACATGAGAACAGCACACCTAAAGAATGGTCTGTGCTGTAATAATTTAAAGACTAAAGGAGAACTGATTTGATAAGGCACATTAGCCACGCAAATGTTGAAGAAAGGCAATTCTGTTTTAAGAACATCTCCCACAATAATTTGAAGTTTGGCTTGATAAGGAGTTCCTTGAACTCTTTTTTGAAGTTCAGCAACCAATCTGAAAAACAATGATAAGTTAACAATTTGGCAAAACAAGTTCGGTACAGAAATGCCAAGTTATCAATGGTAAGTGATATACCTTGTATCAATTTCACAAGCAACAACTTTTTTAACTCTGTCGAGTAACTTTACAGTCATGTTACCAGTACCAGGACCAATCTCAAGAGCAACATCAGTGGGTGTTAGACCAGCTTTATCCAACATTGAACTTATAATTAACGGATTTTTCAATATATGCTGACCAAAATCCTTATTAAATTGGATACCTGAAACAATATATCAGTTAGCTACATACTTGTCATTTAAAGAAATAAATTAAAAACAGTATTTTGCAATAAAAACAATAGTTCAGAGTGGTAAATATAACCTAATAAACTTATCACCTTGCTTAGCAATTTCATTATGAACACGGCTCTTCTTTTCTGCTTTAACTTTAGGCATTTTGTTACACTTTTTTCCTAGTTATTTGATTAATTTTCTATGCAAAATTCAATTCAAAAATAAAAACACGCGCTACTTCAGAACTTCATTGCAAATTGATTGATGCAGTGTTGCCAGTGCCACATAAACTTTAATTATAGTTGCGTGCAGTTGCGGTCACTGTACTTTTTTATTTGAATTTTCTTTATGTCTTTTTATATTTTCAACACGTTTTCAAACAAATAAAAGAACAAAATGTTGTAATTGTACCCGATCGTAGATTGTAAAGGAAGCTTTACTTTTGTCATAACATCATAGATTAACATCAAGCCTTTTATCCCCGAAGGGGTAGGCAGAGGTGCACATTACGGAACTTAATGCCACTGTACAATGTAACACCCACTTTTCACAAAAACTAGAACTGTGTCGATGTGTCGATTTCCGGGTCGGGCAAAGTATTACTGGGTTTTAATAAAATTCTCAGTTAAAGCACGGAGTCTGGAATTGTGCCCGATATATGGCAATAAGCTTTACTTTTATAGACTTCAAATTGCTAACTAACGTTGTTGCTAAAATAAATATAAATAATTCATAGTATAATAATTCACAGAAAGTATTCTCGGTACATTCACTAAAGGAACAAGCAAACAACTTTTCATTTTAATAATTTCATCTGGCAACTCCACAAATTTTGGCATGGTTGATCTTTACGGGACCGAGTGAAATAAAACCGTTTCGTAGAATTATTATGAAAATGGAGTGGAAACCAGAACAAGAAGGACTAAGACAAATACTAACACTTCTCAAAGAGTCTCAATCACCAGATACAGCAACGCAGAGGGCTGTACAACAAGTATCCTTTTCATAATTTTCACATCTTTACAGCTATCGGCGTGGATATTTTTTGCAACTTTAACCGCTTTATTTTTTATTTATGTACTAATCGTTATCAATGTTTTCATATTTCAATGCAATTCATCATAAAACTAGGTGTTAATGCTTTTTTATCAACTATTCTTTTCATCTAGACGCTTGCGATAAAATCGATTTTTCCGACATGACAGCCATTGACAACCTTTATTTTCCTAACAATGTAATATCAGAAATTGGAAGAATTAAACAAGTATCCAGACTTCAACAACTATTTGATTTTTGTCTTGACTAAACTTGTAAGTGAAGAAGAACCTACAAGATCTTTAAGTGGTTTGATTTTGAAAAATAATGTCAAAGCACATTACAACAGCTTTCTGCCTGAAGTTGCGGAATTCATAAAACGAGAATGCTTATCAGCAGTCGGGGATCCTTCTCCCTTGATTCGCGCTACTGTGGGTATCATTATCACCACTATAGCTAGCAAGGGAGAGCTAACATCATGGCCTGAACTGTTACCAGCCTTGTGTCAAATGCTTGATTCACAAGACTACAATGTTTGTGAGGTATGAATTGAGTCCTACAAGTTTTTTTTAAAAACTCCCAACTTTTTTATTATAATACATATATGAAAGTAGGGCCTTTTGATTTATTATTTGCTGGAAAATTGATAACTTTGAAATGACCTCATTCTAAGAAGACATTTCTTGAAAACATTATCGTCTTCAATTTTTGAAGTTTGAATAAAAATGGTATAATTTTGCAAAATAAAAAAAAAGATAATTAACATATTAATTAACAATCAAATGAAAGGCATTTAAATTCTTTAATTTTATTTCCCGTGATATTGTGTAAAACTGTATCATTATTTTAGGGTGCATTTGGGGCACTACAGAAGATATGTGAAGACACAGCTGAAGTTCTGGATAGTGATGCACTGAACAGGCCACTGAATGTGTTGATTCCAAAATTCCTACAGTTTTTCCGGCACTCATCGCCTAAAATCCGGTGTCATGCAATTGCTTGTGTTAACTATTTCATCACAAACCGAACACAAGCTCTCATGTTGCACATTGATGCTTTTATTGAGGTAAGAAATCTTGCTAAACTTTTAAAATTTCTACCTTTCAATATGTTTTTACATAACCTGTGTTCATTAATCAATATCAATTTAATTCCAGAACTTGTTCCATTTGGCAGCTGATGAAGATTCTGATGTCAGGAAAAATGTTTGTCATGCTTTGGTCTTGCTCCTGGAGGTGCGATTGGACAGGCTCATCCCTCACTTACCTAACATTATTGAGGTAAATAAAGTCAATTTTTACTTGTTTAAAATGTAGAATAATAAAAATTCATGCATTTATTTCATGTTTTATATTACAGTACATGCTGGTGAGAACCCAAGATCCCGAGGAGGGTGTTGCTTTAGAAGCCTGCGAGTTCTGGCTCACACTTGCAGAACAAAATGTTTGCCGTGAGGTAACATTGTTTTAATATGAAGTTTTTTTCAGTTATGCACACATTATGCATAGTGCCAGTTCCATGTGTTTGAGTAGTGCAAAGATTAGAGTAATAGGTGACATTTTTTTTTTCAATATTTACAGGTGTTGGGCCCCAGATTACCAGCTCTGCTTCCTATCTTGGTGCATGGTATGCGGTATTCGGAAATGGACGTGATCTTACTTCGAGGTGATCGGGACGATGATGCAGATGACGCAGAGCCAGATCGGGAATCTGACATAAGACCACGATTCCATAAACCTCGATCACACACGGTCAAACATAATGGTAAGATTACTATAATTATTATGGTAAGACTCTTGTCTTTTTGTGAATTTGTCAGGGATTGTATTCTCTGCATTTTCATACAGCTGGAGCTGGTGACAGTAATATGTCGGGAGGTGGCGAGTCAGATGACGAAGACGACGGCGGAGCGGACGCAGATGATGGCTCGTTGTCAGACTGGAACTTACGTAAATGCAGTGCGGCCGCGCTCGACGTGCTCGCCAACGTGTTCGGGGCAGACTTATTACCAGTACTCTTCCCTATACTTAAAGAGACACTTTTCCATGAAGATTGGGTCATAAAGGTATGAAAAGTTTAAGAAACAGATGTGTACTATGTACCTTGAAAAACGATATTCAAATATATTATAATCGCAATTTTTGTGTTATCAGGAAAGCGGTATTTTAGCCCTGGGTGCTGTGGCCGATGGCTGCATGGGCGGTATGGTGCCCCACCTTCCGGATTTGGTTCCATATCTGGTATGCTGTCTGGCTGAGCGCAAGGCACTGGTGCGCGCCATCACTTGCTGGACGCTTTCTCGTTACTCACACTGGATCGTATCTCAGTCGCATGACCTGTACCTGAAGCCTGTGATGACTGAGTTATTGAAGCGCGTGTTAGATAACAACAAGCGAGTACAAGAGGCGGCGTGTTCAGCTTTCGCTACTCTCGAGGAAGAAGCGTGCACAGAGCTTGTCCCTTACTTGGGCTTTATTTTACAGACACTTGTGTATGCTTTTAGTAAATATCAACACAAGAACTTACTCATATTGTACGACGCTATTGGTACACTAGCTGACTCAGTTGGCCATCACCTAAATAAACCAGAATATATTAATATGTTGATGCCACCACTCATCAATAAGTGGAACTTTTTGAAGGATGAAGATAAGGATCTCTTCCCACTTCTTGAGGTATGATTATAATTATTACAGTACTGTTTATCAAGTTACTTGAATTGATATTAATGTAAGTTTTGATTACAGTGCCTATCATCTGTGGCTACAGCTCTTCAGTCAGGATTCCTGCCTTACTGTGAACCAGTATTCAGAAGATGCGTTTCATTAATAGAACAAACTTTAAATCAAAATATTGTAAGTAACTTCTAATTTTTTAACATTATTGAAAATCACTTAAATGATTATAAGTTCTTGCATGGATTCGGTACTAATATTTCTAGTCACAGGAACTTGTGTGGGTGTAATAATATTTTTAATGCATAGATAATGAATTATAATGGTTAACCAGTTAGATTTATCAAATTTTTATAAAAACAAACAAAAAATAAATAAAGTAAAAAGCAAAAAAATAATTATTAGTTATTAGTTAGGTAAAAAAGTTATTTTGAAAATTGGTTCACAATTGGCGGAGTAATTGGTGCATAAACAAAAAAACATCAGAACATTGTACCTTCTCCTTTTCTTGAAGTCAGTAATAAAATAATCTAACACAAGTTGTTGAAAGGTTCTTTCTTTACCATGCAATAATCTTGTAAAGTCATACTTTATTATCAAATATCTTTGTGAATTTATAAATACAAAATAATGATGACTCAACTCAAGTGAACCACAGTGTGCACTTAGTCATCAACTCATCATTATTTAATGATAACAAGCAAATATATTTTGGTTGTTAATTTATTAGCAACATTCCTTAGTCAACTTATCAAGGACCAATAATTTGCAAATAAATCTAAAAGATTCCTAATACTGTTCAATACTTTAAGTACATCCTATCATTCCTTTATTCATTGCAAGGGTTAGCTTTTAAATTGTATGTAAAATACAAAATACCAATTATAATACAAGTAGAATTTAGCTATGTGTGATAGTAGGCAACATATCAATACAAATATATTTGCAGGCAAACACACAAAGTCCAGAACAGTTTGAAGCACCTGATAAGGACTTCATGATTGTGGCGCTGGATTTGTTGAGTGGCTTGGCAGAAGGGTTGGACGGCCACATAGACCACCTGGTGTTCAACTCCAATCTGATGCAGCTGCTCTACCAATGTATGCAGGATCCGATGCCTGAGGTATATCTTGTATGTGACTCTCGCTTATCTACTCACTGGGACAAGGGCGCATAGGGTATTTGTTCTATATCAAGGTATTATGGAGTTTTAATGTATTTCATTATTCATTTAAGCTTATTAATAATTATAAAAATTATGTTTACTTGTTGCGTTGTCCAAATGTTCTTTTTATTTTATCATTTGCATGTGTAGTTACTTTGTTTAAATTATACAAAATTATCTCTAACAAACTATTTATGCATTAACATATTGAATGAATTGAAGTTGACAACACCACATACAAACATTATTTCAACATTATTAAGTTAAACTACCTTGAGCTAGATAAACTCGATAATTAAAAAATATGTATTCAGAGCTCTAGTACATGCTCTGTGTGCATGTATTTGCTCTTTAATTGTGATTAAAACTCAGTATTGTAGCACATTTTTTTAATACTATGAGATTCCAAGAAATCCTTAATTTTTAGATCAGACCTTGTGTTCATAATATACCTAGTATATGTATATTTTATACATGTACACTAATTTACTTACTGTTGGGTCTTATGAAGTATAACTCTTTGGATCGCGCAACTGGTTCTCGCATTTTCTCATCTTGCAACTGAGGTTGAAGAATCACTTATGTCATCAACCAAAACCATTAATACTCATTGTATATCTTGTAACAAACAATTAACAGTAACTAACACTTATTGGGAGATGGGATTCTTTGCTTTAAATAGGAGCTAATATTTTAAGTTGTGTTCATCATATCAGGTGCGTCAGTCGTCGTTCGCGCTGCTGGGTGACTTGACAAAAGCATGTTTCCAACATGTACTACCATACATACCCGAGTTTCTACCAATACTCGGCATGAACCTCAATCCAGAACTCATTTCTGTATGCAATAATGCCACCTGGGCAATTGGCGAAATAAGTATCAAATTAGGTAAGTGTACAACAATAGTATGTTCAATTACAAATGAAGATTTATTTATATTCACCTGTCATAATATAATTATTTCAGGGCCTGAAACATCAAAGTATATCCCCCTAGTTTTGAACCATTTAGTTGAAATTATCAACAGGCCTAACACACCCAAGACCCTACTTGAAAATACAGGTAAGTGATTGTGTTGATTAACTTAATTAGAACATTTATTTTATTGAAAAATAAGAATAACTAATGTTTTATTTGCTAGAAGTATAATTATCCAATAAGTGACTTCTTGGTGTCAGTCATGTTTATGTATACTATTTATGTATATGTTACTATTCAATGTTTTAAATTGAGTTGTTGTGATGTTCATGTTTATCTGTATACCCCATTTGTGTTCGCTGTAGTACTCCCTGCCTATATCTGTACCTGGCAGATCATATATGTATCACAATACTTATATGTGATGATACTAACTCAGTACTAAACAACACATGATTTATTTTATTATTGTGTACCACTTCTTCTACAAAACATTATATTTATGAACATGTATTCTATTCCATACAATTAATATATTCCACATAATAACACAAACAGTAGATTTTTCAAAGCTTATTTATCCTCATCAATATTTTTTTTTGTTTATGGGGTAAATTGTAAATATACCTAATGAGAATTAAGTAGAACCGAAAGGTGAAGTGTGTGCCTGATGTGAAAGATGGCGTAGATCTCGCAGTGTAATCATCAGCTTGCATGAGTTCATCATGTTCTTGTTTCTTCAATGTACCACTATAACCTAATGTTTAACTGAACAAATTCTGGGCCATCTTTTCTCAAACATGCGATACTTATATAATTTGATGAATTATTTAGCAGATACAAGTGTTTCACGTTTTTCCATTTGTAACACTAATTTGTTGCTGTTGAATTATGTAATTTAATATGTTTTGAATGGTTTGTTGATTTGTTTTCTTGGTTTTGTTCTCGGTATGTCGTGGCGTGTAGCGATTACTATCGGTCGGCTAGGTTATGTGTGCCCCCACGACGTCGCACCCGTTTTACATCAATTTGTACGCCAGTGGTCTGTAGTCATTTTTTTTATTATTACTTTATATTATATTACTATTACGTTTAATATTAAATAAGTTATTAACCGGTATTATTTCGATTGTGGATGGTGTTTGTCCATGGCTTGTTAATATTATTGTTTTGATATGTTGTTCCTGAGTTTAGTTGAACCAAGCATGAGAATATTAATTCTATGTGTTTATGTAAGGCCACACTTGAGGGACATAGATTTTTGGGTGTAATTTTACCTGTTTGATCATTTTATTTTCAGTGCTGTACTTTATATGTGTTGAACACCATCCGCTTTCTAAACAATATAAACTATTATTTACACCAAACTGCAAGACAAATTGTTTGACTAACTTTCAAATGCAAACATGCTCATCTTATTGAATAATTTTATTTATTACTACTATGTCTGGTTGATTTTATATATATTTTATTTATAATTTGCTTACAGTTTGGAATGATCTGAGTTCCAATACCCATACAAATATTTTCGTGTGCCAGTTTCAATATTTGCTATTCACATTAATAATCCTTCCTTTGTTTCCTCCAATTTTCCTTGAATAGTATACAGTTTATTTACGCTTGATTAATTTTCATCAATTTCTTTAGAATTTTTTATTACATATTAGTTTAGGTGATTTTTCAATGCTACTTAATGTTTTATATTAAATGTTCGTTATAAACTTTCTCAATTTCATTTACATGTTCATTGAAAAATCATCTAAGGAGTGATCACGATAACTCGGGCAAGTGAACTTTCTCTTACAACACTGCATTTTGTGTCAGGTGCACCTCGCTGCGAAATATTCGCGATAACGACGAGAAGGACTCTGCGTTCCGTGGCATCTGTCAGATGATCCAAGTGAACCCAGCCGGGGTCGTGCAAGACTTCATGTTCTTCTGCGACGCTGTCGCCTCGTGGTCGCACCCCAAGGACGACTTAAAGGAGATGTTCACCAAGATCCTGCACGGGTTCAAGAACCAAGTCGGTGAGGAGAATTGGCGCCATTTCACCGACCAGTTTCCCGTGCAGCTCAGCGTGCGCCTGTCTGCCATGTGCGGGATATAGACGTCATCACTGCGTTATGGTGAGTAGAAGTTCGCGGGCGACTGACTCGCTGTTGGTGTTACAAGTAGTGAGAGGTGGCGCTGACGCGGTTGTGTGTTGCAGGGGAACCAATGTCAGCACGGGTCGGGAAGACATTGAGGGTGTCGCAGCAGGCGCGGCACCCGCGCGTAGGGAACACTCGCTCGGGCCGGCCGCCGCCTGTCCGCCGCGTTATGTGCCAACACACTGACCTCACTACACTAGCGAGGATATTTACACATTTGTACCTATCGACAGAGAATATAAATCTAGATTGTAAATTGTTACACTTCATTCTTCTGTTCGTACCTGAAATTATTTTTCGTTTGACGAGACGTACATTTAGAAGCGGCGTAATCACTTAATGAGTGTATTGTGCACTGAGTATAAGGTAATCGTAGCTTGGATGGGTCGCGCAGGTTCTGAACCGCTCCGCTCGGCTTGCTCGACAGACGCACAACGCACAGGCCGGGGCTGCGTACACACGTATACGGTGCTAGGCTTTCTATTCGTATCTTGTTACATTCACGTTGCACGGTGCATGCTTACGTGCCTCTATGTATAACCATCGTAACGAGTGTACATTCATTAGCCCTTTCTAGTTGTAGTTTTACTCACTAAATTTTGTAACACGGTGATTATTACCGAGTTAGATGTGGTATATCTACTGTAATTGCATGAAATTTAGAAATAGTTTCTAGTTTGTAAAAAAAGATGAGACGTGTTTGTTGAAAAATATGATTTATTCTTATTTTGGTTCTTGCAAATTTGCCCTATAGTTTCAATTTTTTTAAAACGACACATCGAATCATCTGAGTCTCATCATAGGAATTATACCTTAACAAGCAGTAGTAAGGTAAACATAATATTGATATCGATAAAAAATGATATCAAATTGATAATAGTAACAATAAAACGCTAATAATAATAATATCGCGAGCTACTTGCGTAGTAGACATAGCAAGTACTCGCATCGCCAGTCACATCGTTCGCCTTTTGCTCGTGATTATTATTTAGCTTAGGTTGACTGATGCCATTCACTGCTCAACACATACCGCACGTGTTTAATTTATAATTCAATAACATAAATACAGCATAAATGCTATTAGTTTTAGTTGATTTCAAATAAACAAAGTCATTCAGTAATTAATTTTGTCCAAAAGCATTTATCTACACCCACTAGCTAGAGCATCGCAAATATATTTTATTATCTACAATTTAAAATTGACGCGTTAACTTTTATTATTTTATGTAAATTACAAAGACTTAGTAAAATCGAGAATTTATGTGAACTGTGATTTGTGACTGGATTTTTTTTTTGACTAATATATGTGTATGATGATTTTGTCTGTGTCAGTGTAGATATGATATACTGCTTTGATAGATTTTATGAAGGCTAGATTTCTGCTATATAATATACCAAATAGTATTTTTACGTTGTATATTGTTTAATGGAATTGTATATGTGAGTTGGCCGGTGGACGGACGCTTGCAGCGCGACGTGTGGTGCGTCCGTGCAAGTCTCACAAAGCTATATTTACACACTTTGTACTCGTGTGCGTCGTGCGCGCGACTGTCCGCTGCGCTGGTCAACTTTATCATTGATATAAACTACTATTTACGTGTATATTTAATTAAACTAATATTATGTATATGTAAATACATATTGCGATGTATATTATTATTATATTCAAGTAAAATTGTTATTTTTTGTTTTATAAAAAGCTAAAAGTCTGACTTTAAACACTTGTTATAATATCATTTAATTTTTTTTTCAGATACGGGGTCTGAAATTATGTAGTTCGAATGAACATTAGTATATTTAACAAATTGCAATCGTAGTATAGGGAGCGTCGATATAATATGGTATTTCGGGGATAAAAAGAAATTTTAACATTCCGTAATCTAAATTCTGTCTTTTGGCTCAGTATAAAACTTCAGTGTCCAGTGTTGCTATACTTTTATGTTTCGCGAATCGCTAAATTATAATATTTAGATATACATATTATATATACACGTCGTGATTGTATCGAGTAGGAGAGATCCCCGATCCCTGAGCCCCGCTGAGTTCCTATCCTGAGTCCTGTCTAGTCCCATCCCGTGTCATGTGCCAACGAAGCCCGGAGACTCGCAGGTAGGTGTCGCGTCCATACGGTAGCTGTTTCACGTCTCGGTACCCGTAGGAACATTAAATTACTGTAGCTACCTTTCGGATAAATTTGAGACACATTGTTTATTTTTTAAGTAGAATCCATTTTATATCGATTATATGTATGTTACGGGTGGCCTCGTAATTTATTTTTAAGGTTAGTAGATTTTATGGTCATGATTTTTTTTAATGTAGATGTTTGTTTTTCCTAAAAAACCGTGATAATAGTTGGATAAGTGATCGCATGTGTGAATGTGTGAGTGAGGCGGCATTCGTAAGGCACTCCCTTCCTTGAGGCATAGTTAGTATTTTATTATAAATATTATAGTTGTATCGTTTGGACGAACATTAATTGTGATGCATTGTCGATATAAATGTAGGTTGTTTGTGTCGCGTTAAATTGTCATATTGTGTTGTGGATTATTGTCAAAACATGCGTACGTTGTATTTATTTATATGAATATTATAATCACATTGTCCACGTTAGTTAATCATTTGGATTGAGCTTAAATTATATTCAATTACAGAGTTGAGCTCAGCGCCGAAAATATTTTTATACTATAGCATTTACATAGAGGATCATTCCGTTCATGTCATTAGAATGAGGTTCATTATACAGTTATTCGTGAACACTTGCAATGGTTGCGTGAGCCACACTTACAAAGCCAAGCGATGGTGTTTACTTCAGTGTTACATTGACTACGCTTTCGTATTTGTTGACCAACAGGATTTTTGGATCGGGGCTTAAATTGCACTCAACAGTTGCCTGTAGCAACTGTATTATATCATAACTGTATAATTTTATCAAAAGTTCTGACCACAGATTTAATACCGACACCCATAGACCTTGTAAGTAAAATTATTGTATAATTTCAGAAAATATTTATGTCTTGTGTCCCAGTAACGTTATATTTTTAACCGACTTCAAAAACAAGGAGGAGGTTCCCAATTCGACCTTTTTTTTTCTAGTTTGTTACACCTACATTACATAAAACAGTATGGGTTGTGTATAATTAAATAAATACTAATGTATTTTAATAATTAATCCACATATTCAATAGGTTTTAGTCAGCTTACTGTCTCTGTGGAAAAAAAGAAGATCCCTAATAGTTTTGATAACTAGTAACATGTTTGAATAAAATCCTTCTCCTTTGAGGTATCACTGCTCATTGAAAAGAGATATCGGCGGTACGAATGACGGTCACTCATTTTACTGTAGTACTGTAATAGCCGCAATTTCGATCGCAGAATCACTTCATATCACAAATATTTTCTTTCTGCGCCCGTGCCTGGTCCGACTCGGTTATTTAAGTTCCAAAAACAGTAACAAAATGTAAACACAATGTAGGCAATGTGAGATTCTTATAAGTATTTATTCATCTACTAAATAGTCTTTCGCTAAATAAAACTAATATTATTAGTTCTGCAATTTTCGATTTAATTTTTTATCCATTATCCATAATATATATAAAGTTAAAACGCATATAAGTCCATGTTCTATATTATGTAATTATAATATTTTATTATATATATATTATATTATTATTTTACTAGTTTTATTTACAAATCACTACCATTAGTTAGTTCTCTTACAAATTGCAATAGGAAATCAATGCGTGGAACTGTATCGTGTATAAAAATAAATATATTTTAAATACTTAAATGTAAATTCTTGTCACCTGTAGGCAAATGTGTAAGTTGTTACATATAAATAACTGAAATTGCAAATAATATATTTGTATTGTAAAACCTGCATGATTTCAGCTAAGTCCGGTACAAATTTGCACACCATAATTTATAATTAATATTTTGTTGTTTGTTTTACATAAAGTGAGTACAGATGTATGAAACTTATAATAGACATAACCTACCTCTATTTTAAGGCCTAACCCTAGGCAATTTGTTCAAAATTAACAATATAAAATTATAATTTTGGAAGAATATATTTATACTTACTCACTTTTGAAATAAAAATTCTGTACTCATTTGATATAAGTAAAGTATGTATTAAAATATACAAATTCAATTGTAAAAAAGATAACTACTTATATCCATAAAGTAATCAATTGTTTTAAAATCAGGATCTGGTTGTAATATGATGACCTCACAATAGACATTCTTTTACCAAACATTTCGTTAATAAAGCACTCATTGTTCGAATGTTTCATTTTTTATTTTAATGTTTAACATGATCAAATGACCTACATGAAAATCCCATTTTCAACCAAGTTATGTGTAACAGAAAGATTACTGTACGCCTATTATGGATTCTATGGAGAAAGATAGTTTTTGCCGTTGAGGCTGACTGTGAGGCGGTATGGGAGCGTAGGTGGTGAGTAAAGCTGCCAGTAGGTTCCTGCAGAGTAGCGCGGCCGGCGGGCCTGACGGTGGCGGTGGTAGGGGCGCAGCTCCACGATCTAATTCCACGTCCGCGAAAGCTCTGCGCCGACGGACACGCTCATTCCAAGCTGGATCATTTGAATATGGCCGGTCACCTGTACCCAAGTGACAACGTTATTTTTTTTAAATTAGAACAGTGAAAAGGTACTGATTTGGAAGAAGAAATCTATTCTAAATAGATAAAATTTGCAAATGTTAATTGCATGGTATAGAACCTGCGCAAACGAGCGACGCAAAGCCGGTAGTCAACTCACGATTGTAGAAAGGATCTACAGTAAAATGGGGTGAATAGGTTTGAGTGGCGAAAAGGGACAGAAGAGGGGTGAACAGATATAAGGAAATTCTTCATAGTATCGATTCACCCCTCTTCTATTCCTATTCATCTCTCGATCCCTATTCACTCCATTTTACGTACTGAGAATTTAACTTGATTGCATCATTGGTTATTTTTTGGCAATATAGTAGGTAGATCCTATTTAATCTTATAAGTAAGAAAAACAACAGAATAGGAAGTAGTGGTCAAACGCCAGTCCCATTTAATATAAAAAAAAGAATAAAGAGCAGTTTTCAGTAGAGTTAGGTCAGTTGGTCCCTTGTCTGTGTCGACTCTTATTGGTCCATCCACCATCGATTTCCTACGGTCAAAAGGGTTAGGGTTTTTAATGCGATTAGGGTTTTTGATTAGGTATTAGTTTGTTGAGATTTTAGATAGAAGTGGATATTTGAAAATGGAGATGCTCTAATATAGATATCATAAATAGGTAACGATGAAGAACAAATAGTAGATAACGATAAATTAAATTCAACTTGCCAACGCGTTGAAATTTTTGAATCAAATAGAGGTCTAATGAATAACTTTATTGAACATGTTTATAAATGTATTAATTGTGAATTAATACATATCCCGTAGGTACATTTTATTGTTTTAGGAAAACATTAGTGCAACCTGTTACTTTTGTCACGCAACTCGTAAAGTCGCGTTAAAACGAATATTATCAAGATGTCATAAATGTAAAGATGTTGTTGGCACCCGCGGAGCTATCATTCAACAGGACGGAAAGACATGTTTACAGTCAACAGTATTGCTGTAATCCGACACCCCGACAAAGAGCCGCCTCCGCCTCTCTTGTAAAACAATCTTCACACTTTTTTAGAGCCCATAAAAATAGTTAAAAGAAATTGTAGTTTTTTGTGTTAATAGACAGTGAAATGTTGCCGAGTGTTAGATGACAGCTTTTGTTCTGTAATGAACCGGGGACATTTTCAAGTCTTTCAAATTTTTTATTACGACCGTGGTGCTCTATTTTTGTATTTTAAAAGATGTTTTGTGCAACATAGAACTACCTAGTTAACACTGGTGCAATGAGCCAATGTAGTCAATTTTTCATTGCATTTAGGTATGGGGTAGTTTTAGTTGTACCAAAAATAATTATGGGAAATAAAATAAGTTTTACCCGGGTTCGTTCGTAATTCGTAATAAGCTCATAATTCCACAATTAGCTGATAAAAAATAATCTAATGAATTATAGATCACTTAGCCAAGTTAAGAAAAACCGTTTCATTTACTTTACAAATAAATATTAGGTAAATGGAAATATCCAGCCACTTAGTTTTTTTTTCTTAAAATTAACTTTCCAAAGGAACAATGCCCAACACAAATGAAGCTCTTCTCCAAATTATTCATTTAACTCACCCGTTGTTCCAAAATAAATATTTATCCAGCTAATTCGCATTTAGCATTTCACGGGTGAGAAACGAAACACTCGACAGTGTCGGCTCGGTTACTACAATAACAGCAGCGGAGTGGTGTGGACACCCTGCTCTCTGTCACAGTATACATTACATTTCAAAATAACCGTTTAGTTATCTACACGTGTAGGTACCTTACATTGTACATGGAAAGTATTTAAGTAAGCGTATAATACCTATTTCATAGATTACATTTTTTTTGGAAATAAATGAGCTTAGGTTACTAATTAAGAGGACCACTGTCTACCCACAAAATTATATAAGTAAGTGGTAAATGGTCCTCTTTCTGGTAGGTAATACCGTTCGGGGCCCGTGGCAAATTCGTCGGATAGGACCCCATTCCGATTAAAAAAACAGAGAAATTCTGATGAAAACCCCTGAACCTAAACCAATTACAATTGGAGGCCTGTGGGATTTTGCTGACTTGCCACCCTGTGTGTTACCTAGCCATGGGCGTAGCCACACTGGGGCAAGTTGGGGCACTTGCCCCACCCTGGGCCCTGACTCTGACCCATAAGGTGTCTGAATAAACATTTTTTTTTACTAACTCTAACTATTAACATCAACAATCATACTATCCGTAAGTTATTGCACAAAAAAAATTGTCGACTTTGAAAAGAGCGCGATCAAAACAAAATGCACGCTCGAGTTCCTGAACGTGCGCGGTGGGCGCATCATTTGAAAGCGAGCCGTATTTCCCTAAAAGAATAGGTACTATGTGGCGTTTTTTTTTAAGGGGGGAAATCATCGAATGACTGCTCCCGCCTGGGTGAGGCGGGAGGGAGTGTCAGACTCTTACTGACTAAAAACCACCCCGTTCCTTCTCCTGCACGTCGAGCCGGAGCCCCGGTTACCCGTTAGGTTCTCCGCGACTCCGAATCGGCATCGGCCCTATTGGGCCCCATCTGTGGTGGTCTGATGGCTCTTTGAGGCGCGCG